GTGAGTCACCTGCACCGTATTTCACTTTTAATTATTTAAAGAAGAGGTTTGAGGAATGAGATGGTTGCGCCAAATAATACCACTCCATTTCTCTTTATTCATTTTTAACTGATGGCTAGAAAATGCTTATCAATAAGATATTCCTTATCAATAAACAGTTTATCAAAATATTTGATCTAAAAATTATGATTTTAGTCTTAGACAAGTAGGTTTCTTATTGTCAATTCATTAACTCCAATATAACTGAAATTCAACGATAATTCTTAAAGAACTTAAACAAACAAATGGTATTTTATAAGAATAAATTAGATTTTGTCTTAATCCTTCTATTCTATAATAAAATCGAATTCAAATCGAATTTTAGCAATTAAATTTAAAAAACGAATTCAGTGAATCGATTGTTTGCTTAATACAAATGAACTCAACATATTTCGCATCGTTAATTTATTTAAAGAAATAAAAATATTTTAAAAAATAATTTTAAAATAATTTAAAATAATACTTTTAAAAAATAAATACGAAGTTCCTCTTCTAAAAATAAATTTTAAAAAAATCACTTAACAATGCAATTAATTCTATTATCATCAATTTTTTACTTTTACAATCTTAATTTTTTTTATATTTTATCAATTTAATTTAATTTTTTCAATTTTCAATTTGATGCTTAAATTTACTTAAAAATATAATCGCTCAATAAAAAAGCTCATATTATTCACCATTTTATGTTCAAATACTGCTTAAAAATTTATTATTTTTCTTCGAATATTTAGAATTTTATTAAATTTATTAAAAAAAATTTTAAAAGCTATTTTTCAAAATACTAATAAATGTTTCGGCAATATTTCTAGTAAACTAATGAAAGAAAAAATGCGAATAAGACTGAAAAGAATTGAGGAATTTAATCCTTTCTTCTGGTAATAAATATTCTGGTTGATATATTGCTGTGCAATAGGAAGCCAAATAAACATTTGGTCTGAAAAAAATTTAAACATTTTGATAAAATATTCATTTGTCATCAATGTTATATGAACAATTGAACGTATGATAATCTTCTTTATCATAAAATCATTTGAACGCAAATGTTTGAGTGGGAAAAAAATTGTGAAAAAAACAGATTAGCAGATTTATAAGAATTTGGTTAAAAAATTTATGAAAATGTTTTAAGAAATGTTATGGTGAAATCTTTAAAAGCAATTTCACAATAAATTGCGAATTTGAGTAATTGTTTTGAACAATATTCGTTGACATTGACATTTTGTACAACATTCACATTATCTATTCTTCTATAATTATAATAATTATAATAATCTTATAATTGGCTTCAGTAACCACTAAGATCAAAATTTTTTGAGTCAAAGAAGGATTGAAAAGTTTTGCTGGAGGCTATGTTTAAATTGATAGTCTAAGTAACGCGGCCACATTGACCAAGGTTATTAAATTTATTTCATAGAATTCTCCTAATGATAACTAAAACAATATTATTCAAACGAATTAGCGTTTTTTGGTTTCCAAAAAATTGGTCCTTACAAGATAAATGGAAGGTCCAAGGAAGATTGGCGTGGTTTTTGCTTTCCTTTGTTGATGACCATAAACTTGTTATTTAAAGCAAAGTGATCTGGGTGATACTAGAGGTTCGTCTGTGTTTTACCTTCAAGTTATTCTCTGCTCACCTCAGTAAAATCATAAAATCACCGCAATTAAAAATAGTGAGTGCTATTAGAAGAAGAACACCTGGAAATGAATATATCGAAAGGCATTTCAAAGGTTTAAAAAATTTTATTAGTTTTAAATGCAACAAATAATTCGTTTGAAATATCCTTTTTCCTCACATTATAGCTGATCTGACTGATTTCTTCTTATTTCCTAAATATTTATTCCCAGGTATCCAAAGTAAAATTATTATTTTCTTAACGAAGAATGCAAGTAATTACCATAAAGTGAAAATAGTGTAATATTTTTAATCTATGTTTAAAATACAAGGAGAGAAAACTAAAGACCAAAAGGTAATTGGCAAAGTTAATGCAGCAAAAGACAAATAAAAAAAAAATGCGGAACTAATTTTTAAGAAACTTCCTCGAATTGCGAATGGCACCGAACGTAACCTCGTGAGCAAAACCGTAAAAAATCTCGAGATCATCTAGTCAATAAAGTTTAATCGGTCAGCCATTTATTAACGAGTTGCTCTTTGACGTTGTTCATCCTCATTTCCTTTATTCGATTATTTCAAGTAAATTATTCTTAAAAATTTTACTTATCCATCTTGTCCTGAATCATAGAAAATCTTTCAGTTTCATTCAATAGGCAAACTAAATAAAATGCGTGAAGGGAATGATAAATTTTTCAGATTAGACTAGCTTTTGATTCAATAGCTAAACCAAATAATTAATTTTATAGAGGCAAACTGCCTACCTGGGAGGAAATTGGTGCCACAAGATTATTATGCCATAAAGAATTGTTGGCTAATTTGTAAGGAAATGAAAGTGGTCGGAGAAGTTGCATTCAGAATTTATAGCGAAACTTTTAATAAATACCATTTTATTTAATGAACAAAAAATTAATTCATTATAGAAAACAAATTCCTCGCTCGGAATTATCTCTTTAGAAAAAGATTATAATTTTAATTGAGACTGGATTATTAGAATTGATTAGCAAATACTGATTTTCGCCTCTACATTATGTTTTGAATTTCCCTGTTCTCATTCCAGTAGCCAGTGAAATTACGCCAGAAATGGTCACTGCTATTAGGAGAAGAATTGTAATATTTCGCTGGTTATCGCGATTTCTCATTTTCAACTTTAAATTGAAGCCTAAATCTATAAGATTATAAATAAAAAAAATTTTTAGAATTTTATCGAAAGAAAAGAAATGATTATTTTAGTTTTAATATTTTCGATAATAAAACTTGTGTTTTCTCAATGTGATTCTCATTATCCGTGCTCGACGAATTCATCCGACTTTTTCAATCCATGCATTCTTTTAAAATTTCGCCCATGTAAGTCCATTCTTCGATTATTTATTTAATCCTAAAGTATAAAAGTTTATTAAGAATAGAATTCGCAGTATCATCGCATTGCTTTAAAAAAGTTAAGCAAATTAAATCTGTAAAAAATATTATAAGAATAAGTAAGCGAGAAAAGAGAATTCGCTGAGAAAAAAACTTGAATGAGTGTCCAAAATTCCAAAAATTGCTTATTCTTTAGCGTATTGACAAATTGAGAAATTATCACATTAGCAATTTTTTAAGGTGGAGATCTCAGTCTTATATTTCCTGCATCATTTCCCGATCGAAAACAGGTTACAGCTCCAAGCCTTATAATACACCCCATTTTTTATACAACGCGCACCACTACAACAGAAATCGTGCCGATACAGTCAAATACGACAAGTACCTCGAGCATTGAAACTAAAGAAACTACCACTGAAGAATATATCAATGAAAAAGTCACTACTTACAATACTCCAAGCTACCTCAGGCCTGGAAAAACCACAACAAAAATGCCAAAGATTGGTAAATTAGTTTCTTAATTCTATAAAACTACTGGTGAATTTGTCGACAGTTAATATTAGCTAAAAATTTATAAGATGAAAGAATTGAAATAATTACAAATTTATTAAATGATTTTCATCTTGTAGCAAATCCATGTCTTCAAGGGAAACCACTACCAACCGGTTCAAATATGCCTATGCCTTGCAATTATCGAATGAAACCGAATAGTGGTTGTCCGGAAAACTATTTTTGTCACACTGGATCAAGTTTTGCGACCACAGCTTGTTGTCCTATCTTTGAGAAAAGTTTTTTTTCTTATTTGTATTACTGCACAGAGGAAAGAAGTTAAATGTATTTCACTTTTTATGATCGAAAAATGATGAAAATTGAATGATGAACGAAAATTACCATAGTTGAAATCCCTTTAAAGACTAAATACAAATAAGATGCATGCTTAGGAGAAGCATGCTTACAACCGATATCGCCTGGTGATGGTGGAGAATCTTTAACGAGGTGGTACTTTAATCCAATTTCCAAGAAATGCAAAAGCTTCATCTACAAAGGGTTGCATGGGAATCAAAACAATTTCTTATCAGAAACTCAGTGTTCAAATATGTGTGAGAAAGGTTCCATTTAATTTTAACTTTTTAGGTGTATTAAGGTTTTTTGTGCCAAAATAATTAACAGAGATTCATTGTATAATTGGCAGAAAACAGGCACAGGATTTTGCGAGAAGGTGATCTAGAAGCATATCTTTAGGATAAACCTATATCTATTTCTTCAACTTATGGCTCATCAAAAAAAAGAGAAACCGAAAGAATTTAGCGAAAGAATGGTTTTATTGAACTTGAAAAAAATGAAAAAAATTCAAGAATTTATCAATTTATCAATGATGCAATTATTTGTAGCTGCAGTAAACGAATGTGATCAACCGCTATTGCTCGGCGAAGGTAATGAAAGCATTCGAAGATGGTATGCAGTTCCAAACCACCGTTCCTGTAATAGGCAATGCAAACAATTTATCTATAAAGGAATGAAGGGCAATCAAAACAACTTTCTTACAAAACAAGAATGTGAACGCAAATGCAAATGTTAGATTAAGAAATTTTTCTTTGAATTTCTTCGGTTTGAAAAATTTTAGCATTTTGTTGTTTCTTTTAACTATTATGCTGATACTGATTTGCCAGAGGATCACTTGAGGATAGAAGAACCGACGGATCTCGAGCACTTTGGCCATTATCAAGGGGATTAAAGCAGAAATGAAACCTAAACTATTCTTAGATGACACTTTTATAATACAAATAAAATACAGATATTCATCGATTTATAAAATTGACGGATTGGCAATAAAATCATTTCGAATCAACCAATATCATATTTTGTTGAAAAAAAAATGCGGTCGATTTTATTATTTTATAATACTTTTATATCTTTTTATAAAAATAATGATGAGAAATATTCCAATATAATCATTCTTCTCATATACATTGAAAATTTTCCATAATAAAAATAAAGCCTTAAAAAAAGTGTGTTTGCAGCCACATGTGGAAATCCATGTGGAACAAATCCAGTCCTACTTGATTCAAATAGAATGCCACGGCAATGTAGCATGGAATCACCTTGCCCGGATACTCACTGGTGTCATGTCGGAGGCAATAGCTCAATGACAGTTTGCTGCCTTGGAAGTAAACATCAGTAACCATTTCCTAATCCATTAAAAAATAATTTTTTCAACATATTTTTGGCATCTTAGATCATTTTTTCATAAACTTTTTTTTATAGCATCGGATCCTTGTCGACTTTCCGTCTCATCAGGTGTCGGGGAATATCATCTGATGAGGTGGTATTTCGATTCAAATATGAAAAAATGCACCCCATTTATATATTATGGCAGCGGCGGAAATCAGGTAACTCAATGAAACAAAGCATTTGTCCTTTGCATCGAAAAGAAAGCAAGTAGTTTGATACTTGGTCGAGCTATTTGTAACTTTTGCCTATAGCTTATATTTATCGTTCGAAGTTCCTCTCAAAGTTTTAACACAATTAAAGAATACCTGAAAATCTTGAAAAATATTTTAGATTAGAATAAAGAAATTAGAATAATAGAAATTTGGATTCTCGGATAGCTTGGAAAGTTAAGCTCTGGATGGCAATCCATTTGGAAGATTTTTTAAAATATCGTACAAAGCTAAAAATTCAATAAATAATTATTTTGCGAGATTTTTAGAACATGTTCTTATCAGCTGAAGATTGTATACTAACGTGTCTGTCGAATAAGAACCCTTGCGAAAATGGTGAACCTCTCCTTGTCAATGGAGAACCAAAAGCATGTAGTCCGAGGAACCAATGTCCATCAACACATTTTTGCCACATTGGAGGAGAAAACGATCCAGAATATTGCTGCCCCAAATTTAAGTTTTTTGATGTTTTTAAGTATAAAGTTATTATCTGATTTATGGCATCAGAGATCAGACTTATGTTCACTTATATTCGAAATTCCTGGCCATTGTTCAGATGAAAATATTTTCTGATCATCGAAAGGTTCTTATTTTAAATTAGGAAAATATGTTTATAAACATGTTTTAAAGTTTAATATCTCCAAAAAGTTCTTTTTTATAAGATTCATTTCAACTTTTCGCTATATATCGTTGAATTTAGATGGCAATCCATGTGAAATGTCACTAGCACAAGGTGTTGGTAATTTGACCCTTACTCGTTATTACTTCGACAGAGTTACCCATCTTTGTCAGACGTTCATATATCGTGGAGCTAAGGGAAATGCGAACAATTTCTTGACTGTCAATGATTGTGAATCCATATGTCCAGGTAATATTTTCAGTTAAAACTTGCTTAAAGTCTCAGAATGTTCACAGTGATATGTTTAGATTTTGAATGTATGAAGTCAGACGAAACTTTAACTTTTAAGGCTTCATTATTCCATATTATATGAAAAATTTCTTGAAGTATAACGAAATTAATATAAATATTAAACACTGTCTCGGAATAATTTCCAGTTATATCTTCTTCAGTATATCAGAATCCTTGTAAAGATGGTGAACCACTGCTCGATGCAAATCAGTTGCCGAAGATTTGTGGAGGAAGCGACACTTGCCCAAAAGGCTATTATTGTCATATAGGAGGCAATCCAGAAACTACGAATTGTTGCCCTGGACGTAATTTTTTTAAGAAGGAAATGATACTCATTTATGCCAAATATTTATAATAATGTAGCCTAAAGAGAAGGAGACAAACGAATTTAAAATATTAAGAAATAAATTTATATTTGTAAATATATTTGTATAAATATATTTGTAAAATTTAAGTAATTTTTTGCTAGTTGGATAGCTTTTTTCCACTTGAGAATTCTTTATTTAGTACGCCGAGCATGTGATTATCCTCTGGAGCTAGGCAAAGGCTCTCTTCGACTGGAGCGATGGTACTTCGATGGAAATGAGCAGCTATGCAAAAAATTTATTTACCATGGTTTAAAAGGGAATACGAATAATTTCTTGACTCGCGACGATTGTCAGCAGTCTTGCAAAGGTATCGAATTTATTTATATTTTTTTTCAGTCAATATATTAAATATTTTCAGAGACGAATCCATGTAGTGAAGATGGTCCACTGATCAATTCAGCCGGACAACAAGTTCTTTGTACCGATGCTGAACATAATGATTGCCCAGAATCCTATTACTGTCATATCGGATCATCCGCTTCGACAAGTTTATGTTGTAAAAAAACCGGTAAATATTTTCTTATCATCATCAGCAAGAGATTGAAAATCTTATTAATTTCAAAAACTAAATAAGATGAAGAATCAGTTCTTAGAGTGGTTTCAGGAGCGGATCCATGTGATCAAAGACGCATAACAGGTTATGGCAAAGAAGCTCTATCACGATGGTTTTTTGATAAAAATAGAGGACGATGTATACCATTCACCTATGAAGGAATGGGTGGTAATGAAAATAATTTTATTTCTAAAGACATGTGTGAAGAAAGCTGTTCAGGTACTATTTCAAAAATTACAAAATTTCCTAATTCCGGTTCGAATTGCAAGTGCTATCTAGTTCTGAGGAATAAGAAGCATTTTTTAGTGCAACATGATTTCTGCCCACATGGTCAACCATTGACTGATAAAAGGAGCCAGATGCCAATGGGCTGTGGAATTGACAAATCTTGTCCAAATGGCTTTATATGCCATCTTAATATCGAATACAATCAGTTGGCTTGTTGTCAGGTTGAACTTTCTACGTTTTCTAACCAATAATAAAAATAAGATTGATTATTGATTTTAGCTAATAAAGGTCTTAAAATTAAAAAAAAAATATTATAAGTATAAATGAACAGGTTTAGGATCCAAACATCTTTTGTATGCAACCAATCGATCCAGGTTCGTGCCGTAAATTCACGAAACGGTATGGTTACGACCCAAGAACCGATACTTGCGTTGAATTCAAATTTGGAGGCACGTGAATATTTTTTAATCAATCAGTTACTTAATTATTTTAGAAAAATGTAAAAATAAATAGCACTTTAGCAATTTGTCTTTAAATTTAAAACTTTTTTCACGAGCTAAGTTATTTTCTTTCATTTCAGAAATTTTCAGGTTGTGATGGAAATTTGAATAATTTCGATTCCTTAAAAAAGTGTACAGAAATATGTTGCAAGAATTACGCTAAATAATTTCAGAATTGGCTGGTTTTATAAAAAATCATTAAATATATTTTTTTTCATAGAGTTTTGTTTAGAAAAATTGTTGTTCTGAGGCATTTTATTATAAATATCTTCGATAAGATTTAAATTAAATAATTTATAATCATATAAGGATTAAAGAGAAAATTTTCGTACAAATTGTTTATTATTGTTTATATTGTTACTTTTTTTTTTTTGTTGATTTTCTAAAAATTTTCTTCAATCAACCTCAAATGAGTATTCAAAATAAGAGGAAATTCAGAAACCTTGTACTTCTATTATCAGCCGACTCTGCAGCGAAATAAATAACTTCATTCCGCCATCGTCAAGCCAGAAATGGTTTTTAAAGAGCAAAGCAAATGAGCATTTATTATACATCAATTGTACTCAATCAAAGTATTTTTAGTGCATTCACTGACTAAATACCAGGAAGGCTGCATGAAAAAAATTGAATTAGAGCCAGCCTTTTCGCAAAAATTTTTCATTTTTTACAGAAAAAATTAATCAATAAGTTTTTAAAATATACATTCTCTCATTCTTCTTCTAACACCTCTCACCATTGCTGGTTAGGTTGGCTCCAACGGCTACAAGGGTAAGACGTTTTCAAACTATGCGACCTGGTACTATCATTGACATAAGAGAAGCAACCTTTTTTTCCATCGTCTAAGTCCATACATTGCTGGTCCACCTATACCTTCAAAATCTTTTCTGACCGTATCCAGGTCTTGATTGGCCCAACTCGCTTTAGATGTCACCCATGGTTTAGCAAGCAACGAAATATGTATGTTTAATACATATTTAAAAATTTTTTAATATTTCCCTATATTTCTGTTTCAAATCAGGATTACTAATGAAATGAGCTATCACATTGATTTGCAATGATACTTAGTTACTGTATTATCTTACAGTTCCTGTATTACTGTAAATAGGTTTCAAGCCCAAAAATTACCCTCGGTGAATTTCGGAAAGAATTATAAAACAGATGATTGAGTTCTCGAAAAATTGTTAAAGAAATACTATCATGTTCTGAAACTGCGTCAGAAAAGTTTTCTTTATATTCAATCTTTATTTCTAACAAAAAATTGAAGTAAGGCAAAAAAATAGCCAAAATTGTTTTGTTCAATTGTGGATTTTCAATTTTTTATTGAAATTTTGTCATTTATATTGGAAATTGCTGCAATTTTTTTATAGCAGTTACAAGCCTTTTTTTTTCCATTGAGCCATGAAAACTTTTCTGCTATTACATAAATTAGTACTTATGATGAAATCGTTAAAAATTTAGAATTCAATGAATATTAGTGTTATGTTATGAGGGAGAACCTTCATTTTTCTAAGGTATGTTAACTTATTTTTCATTGGGAAATGTTCATTTGGAACTCTAATAAAAGTTTTTAAAATGAGTCGAAATAAAATTTTTGTTGAATGGCCAATGGTAAGTGAAGAATGGGATTTAGAACCGCTTGCACAGAGCACTTCTGTCCACCAGTGATCTTCTGGTCCTAATAAACAGTGATATGAGCCAAATGATGAATTTTCTACACCTATATGGTGTGATCAAAAATTCATCGAAATTTGGATTCATTCTTTTTTCATCGTTTTAAATACAAAGAAGTATACAAAGAAATATAAAATTTATCTTTTAAATAAACTATAGTGTCAAAAACTTGCTCTTGTTCAGTAGATTATACATGTTTTAGCGAAAGTGGACACCACGATGAGGTTTCTTTGAATCTACAGCGGTTAATGTTGAAATCAATGATCCATGCGATTTGTAGGATTTACCTAATTTCTGTTCTTTTTTGTTCCATTTTACTGTTTAAAAATGCTGAATTACACGATATGTCCCATTTTTCTTTGATAGTCAATTGGCTATATCCGCTCCTATTTTCCTTGAAAATTTAGGCAAAATTCATAGTTTAATTCTTCCACTTTTTTTATTAAATCTATGATAAAAATCATTTTGCAAGGATATTCCAATTCGATAATCCCCCTATTCTTTTATTTTGCTTCTGAGGCTTTCGACTTATATTTTGCTTCGACATTTATTGGTGGATTAATTTGGGAATTTAAAGTACTTATCGGAAAAATTCTTTCTTTTAAGATCACTCACCATAAATATGCCAGGAATACTCTTGGCGATAGAAGTACAAGTGAATCGCCAGTATATTGGAAGTTGCAATATTCAGTTCCTTTCGTGCATTCATATTTCTTTCACATTCTCTCACTACTTTCGTCTGATACCTATTATTTTGTGCGATATTTGAAGTTTAGTCCATATATCATCCTAATATTTAAATATAGAAAATTTCTAACGTGATAAACTTGAACTTGAACTTTTATTGCTATTTTTGTATCGTTAAACAATATTTCAAAAAATTGCATAAAAATTGTGATGTGTAATTGTGTGGTAGAAAGCAAGAAAATGGGTTAACATTCTAGTAAGGCTCACTTCGTTGGTTATTGGAAGTATGGAAGTTTAGCCAACGAGTCTATTGAGGACAAAAGACGACAGAAAAAATCCGTTTAGTGTTTAACTTGCAGCACCAACTACAGCAGATAGAATTTACTGGTTAAATTTTATTGATAAATATTATTATTTATACAAATATATACAAATATACAATTTATACAAATCGAATTATTGGCTAATGTGTTAATGGCAAAAAAAATTCATTTAACATATTAAGTACGATGTAACATTAAGTAACAGGCAATTGATATGAGGTAACAGTAAGTAACAGGCAATTTATTGGATTTATTGAATAGCATATGAAAGGGTTCGACCAGTGAATTCTATCGGCTGCGCAAAAGCAATCTTCTAATATTCAATGGATCTATTTTAACAATATAGATGTCCTAAATTCGGAACTATAATTTAACATATGTCGCAGTTATTCTGGTTTATTTTCAAAAAATTATCCATAATAATACTCTTGCCCAATTAATTTTGCATTTTTATTAGAACCTTTGAAAAATATTTTTATTCTCTGAATAATATTTTGAAAAAAATTTTCATCTAAATAATTTCTAAAAATTGAGAATAGTAAAGTGAATAATTTAGATGGCCACATTTTCAGGGCTTAGAAAATTTGGAGGACGCTCAATACCCACCTGTATCTCTCTATTACCAAATGTGAGAAAATCCTCAGCAGCATAGTCAGTGAGGCCATAAATGGCGAACTCTCGGTTTTCTAAAAATTACCTGAAAACAAATATTTACGTTAAATTAATAATTTTATAAATAATTATTTCGTTGGACTATAAAGATTTCCTGAGGTACTTTTCTCATAATTACAGAACTTCTTCGTTTCTTATGAATTTTTTTCCATAATCTTTCAGAAACTTTAGAAATGTATGATATTTTGCAAGTTGCAAAATAAGTCGCTTGGCATTCACCATTTCTAACCATGCTCGCTTCATTGGCAATTAACAGAATGAGATAACCAGAGAGACATTTGCAGATGTAATTAGAAATGAGCTGCTAAGACTCATTTAAATGATAAACTCCACAAAACTAACTTACTGCATACTGCTTGAAAATCTAAACATTTTCGATTTCATTGGTCCTTTTCGCTAATTCAATTTATTATTTTTCATTGATACCACTTGTATAATGCGTACTTTTTATATTTTTATATTGTTGTCTTAAAGAGTGCTTTACTATAGACTCTTGACTGTTAAATAAACGAGCTCTTTATTTATCATATCACTTATCACTGGCACTAACATGCTCTTTCTTTATCTTTGTCTTATTGAAACAGCACTGTTTCCTATTTAGCAAAAAATGAGCATAACACCATTCAGTAGCTGTTTGCTAAAGAAATTTGATTTTTGTTCTTGTTTATCCTTATTTAAATTTGAAATCCATAGGGCAGTTATTTCAGTTGCTAGAATTAAAAAACTAATATCATATAGTTATAATATTATAGCCCCGTTATCCGGTTATTTAATATTACAATTATACTTATTAATTATTCACGGAATGATAAATGTATAAGAACACTAAGAAAATATTAATGACATTGAGCGTTACGATTGACCTAGTTGTGTATTTTATTCAATTTTCATTTCAACAATTAAATCCACAAAAGAGAATTCCGATTCCTTTAATCATTCACTTTCAGTTCAGTCATAAAGATCAAAAATTTTTAAAATTTTTTCCCACAAACATTGTTTCGAAGCTTTATGGATGTTTTCCAATTGTTCTTCCGCAATACTTAAATTTAACTTTTACGTTTTATATGGTATTTTATACTTTTTTTGTTTTATGGCATTTCAGTGTCTTCCTTCCAGTCCCTTCCTCTTTTCTCTATAATTAATTAATATTATTATAATTTTGGGAATATTAGCGAATTTGAACAAGGATTGTTTGCATGAGGTAGTGCCTCACCTGAGACTTTTTTCATTCCTCCTTATTGATTGATTGTTATAAAATGAATTTAAACGAGTATCGCGTAAATTTCAATCTGGTTTCATTAAAAATATTACCGGGTAGAAGGACCTATCATTTAAATTCTTGAGGATTATAATGGTCGCAAATTTCGAAAGAAACATCTAACAGGCTTTCACCCTCATTAATTAATTATAATTTATATTGATAAGGATATGAGTAATCAAGTTTTTCTGTCTAAATGTAAAAATTACAATTGTTAAAAAATTATTTGAGAAAAGATAGGAAGGTAGGAAAATTTTCTTTGCCTTTTTTCTATAAAAAAGATCATTAAAGATCCCTAAATTTTGTTATTAAAAGCAGAATCCGACTGGTGCTGGAGATCTGTTTATATTTTCATCACCAAGTGATTCTCCGGTGATTCTCTTTATCCGGTTAGCCGGTGAGCAAGCTAAACCAGAAATGAATGCTGTCAACAAAAGAAGATTGTTCACATAGATTATTTATTAACCAATATCAGTCGAAATATTTTAAAGCAAGATTTTGGATATCAACTCGCTTATAAATTTCTCTTTGCTTTTTTTTACCCTTTTAACGGTTTATTCTTTCGTATTTCTCTGCAAAAATTGTTAGTCTAATTTTTAACAATTTCTTTAGCAGAAAAAATTTCAGAGATATTTTTTCAAATTTTATTTATCCTCTTTTTCTTAATTTTTTAATTTTAATTTTAATGTTGTTGATTTTTCTCATCTCCATGGCTTTCCGAAGCAGCTACCATATCTTACCTTCGTAAAATGCAGTCGTTGCGGCCTATAACTTGTATTCGAGCAAAAATTATCATTGACAAAATTTGTGAATTTGTGAATTCTGCATCATAATAATTTCACCATTTTATACCAAAAATACATATCCGTTATAAAACCTTAAAAACCACATTATCAAATCTTAATAGATTTTTGGTCAAGCAACGTGGTCCCTATCACTTGGCATGTTGAAATTTTCATTAAAATTTAAGTGGTCCTAATATTAATTATCTTGCAGCAATTACCACTTTTTAAAGATCTATATAAAATTGGAAATAAATTTTCAATAATTCTAATTATTCAGATCGATTCCATATAAAAAAAGAAAAAACAAATGGTAAGTGTAACAAACGGGCGTCCACTAAATTAGTGGAAATTTTTTGCTAATTTTAGGCGCAAGTTTATAGTTGCATTTTATGCTCTTGTGTAGTGCTTTGTTACTCTTTATTGTTATAAGATTAATACGATTTTGACCATTTTTACTTTCGTGCGAAGAAATAATCGAACTGAATAAAACAAAAAAAATTGTCACGAATTTATTTATTATTTTAATTTCCAATATTTACTTTCGATCCGCCAGTTCTGAATTTCCTGAATTTATTTAACTAGAAAAAAATTGAAGAAATGTTGTGATAACTTAATTTTTTGTTACATTACTTTTTGAATACCACGGCGTACAATAAAGTACCTCCTTGTGGACATCTAGGATGAGATGCAAAATTACAGGAAATTTCATCGGCACATTACCGTTATCTTATCCCAAGTGCCATTTCCTGGTCATTTATTAATGGCTAATTAAATATTTGCAAAGGATGGCATCCGTGATAAGTTTGATCTGCATAAGGAATATATTTTCTTTGATAACAGTTTCGTTTTTCATATGGATTATTGCATTAGCCCAGGTAAGCGTTTCTTATTTGTTTTTCCCTTTTTTCTGTCATTTATGCATATTTATTCAACTTATTTTGAGTTTTGAGTCAATCTAACTTCCTTTCACTTCCTAATAGTATTGTAAGAAAATAATGATTTGAAATTTTTGCTGGACCTATTGTTCCTCAAATATGAAGCGCTTCATCCAGAGGATTATAACAATATTGTTGTAAACAGCCACAAACTACTCAACTACTTAACCAAAGTTTATATTTTATTGGAAATGCTTTTAAAAATATGGGAATGCATTGATTTTGCAGATGAAACTATAATAGCAAATTAGAGAATTTGAACCGCAAAGTTATCAAGAATCATAAGCATTAGATAGTACAATGAATAAGTATGAGAGATAGCTGTTAACATCAATAAATTCGTAGTTCGAGCTGAGAATTAACACAATTTTTGCTAATTTTAGGCGCAAGTTTATAGTTGCATTTTATGCTCTTGTGTAGTGCTTTGTTACTCTTTATTGTTATAAGATTAATACGATATGATAGCATTTGATTAATGATAGCATTTGACTGAATATCGCGAATATTTCCCAAAAAGCGTAATATACAATTGGCACTTTTTATTAATCCTCCATTAAAATCATGGTAAATGATTGCTAAGTTATTTCGTCACACGAGCTTAACCTCTGAAACTTACCGTAAACCTTATCATTAAAAATGAAACTCGACTGCTGGCTTACCTTCTACTGTCGTCCTAATTTGTTAAATTGTGCTTTGGCGAGAAAAAAGGAATAACCATTAGAAAACTAACCATGTGCCAGTTTATAGTACTAATTAGCTAAGAATATGCTATTTTAAATGAAGTCAAAGATGATAAGCCTATTAGAAATTTTCTCATTATTATTGATACGACAATGAAATTTCGACAATAAGAAGCCAAAAAAGTTAGCAAAAAAAAGTGCAAAATTTGAAATTTTTCAATTTGTTTTATTAAGTCCAGTGCTTTTTATAAACTACTTTGCAGTAGCTTATGAATATCATTTATCGCTCGTTTATAAAACAATTACTCAATTATTGTGAATTTATTTAGCAGATCTTTAAAATCCAGCTGAAAATGGATCGATTCGCTCGAAACTAGATTCAAAATGAATGTTAAATGCTGATTTATTTCAGTATTTTAAAGTCCGCACCAGCGAAATTTTCATATTACATTATTACCATGCACGTAAACCATTTTACCTGTAACAAAAAACATAAAGTAAATAAATTTCGACAAAATAATTGGGAAATAATTATGACTTGGGAATATAGGTGGTTCCCTGTACCTTCCAATTCTCTTGATGGTCTAAATTTGACAGGCACGCGCGTTTTGCCTGGAATGATAATCTAAGCATCAATCACTTGGCTAATTTGCCTTTTCTTAGATTGTTAAGCAAAATAAAATCCATCAGTGTTAAGTTTATGCCTTTAAATCCTTTAAATCGATTAATTTTCAGGCTTTTCATCACAAAATGACCAAACGAGAATTGAAACAAATTTTCGGTGTAGAACACCATTCTCAAGTTCCCGACTATAAGTTGGTGAAAGCTGAGAAACAAATCGTCGGTGATGGTGAACTATTATTAAGCTTTGATGCATGGAACACTAGTTATCGACTAGAGTTGATTCCAAACCGAAGGCTAATAAGTCCTCATTTGGTAACTTAAATTATCATGTTTTCTCAAACTTTCCTAAGCATTCATAGTAGCAAAATTGAATGAAGGACTAGCATTTGGCATGTTTCTTGATTTTTTGATTTTTCGCTCATTTTTGGCATGAATATTTGTGTTGAGCAAGCGAAGTTCAAATTTTTCTCCGATCGAATGTTATTAATCCATAAATTATGCTTATTTCATATTTCTGTTCTATTTATATTCAGTTTGTTCATATGGGAATGATTAACGCTTACCAAATTACTAGTTGATTCTATCTATTTTTCCGCATTCTCATATTTTTCATATTATCCAACTTACCAAAAGAATTGACAGGAATAAAAATTTTGAATTAAATATTTCTAGTTTGGTGACCCGTCTAATAATCGCATCGGAATTTTCGTTTTTTGACATATTTTAGACTATATATTGATCGATGATGGTTTAGAAATCCAGATTTTAATACCGGTTTAGTGAATCCAAGCCCTGAATTTACCAACTTTTGTTGGATTATTCATCCACGTCTGCTATTATGCCACAAGGGATCATGAGATAATCGTCTTCCATATTTCCTTAAAACATTTTAAAATTTGAAAAGTTCTTGTCTATAAATTCTCATGAAAATTGCTCACTCAAATACAATCAGTATTTCTATCAGTACATATCTCTAATTACTTTTAGTAGTGCATAAAAATGTTTACCAGTTTTACCAATTCATGAAAATATATAATGGATCGTTGATGCTTTATCAAAAAAAAGAAAAAAAGAGGGAGTGGGAAACAGATTTTTTTTTTTTTTTTGCAAATTTTATTTCTGTTTGAAAATTTTGGCTCCTCTCATTCGCATTTTCGCTGAATAATTTTTAGAAAATATATTCTAATGTATAGCCAAGAGAGGAATAAAGCTAAATAATTAAACAGTATGACTTTTAATGACTACAAAAATTACAGCTGAAAAAATAATTATAAAATAGTATAGAATTATTAATGGCCTTAAATTTAAAAACCTCGGGTTGTCAAAAAATAGAGAAAGCAAAAAAACTGCTATGGGGTAATAAAAATGGATTCGAATAAGCAGTTTATTTAATCGACAAATTAAGTATCGACCAATCAAGAAATTGATATCGCATTTTTCATGGGATAAGAGTGGCTCGTCGATGTTTATCGGCATGCAAAATAATGAATGAATTAGCTAAAAACATTCTAATATATGAAATGATAGTATTCCTAAAGAAAGCAAAGATTGGCAGAGAGCAATGGAGTTTGAAAAGCAAAAAAACTAATACGTTGATGTCGATGATAGGTCTAGTATAGATGACTAAGGCTCCGCGAGCAGAGCCCAAAAACAGTGGAAGCGGGTTGAGTTTGTTACCAACACTGATATTAAGAACACGTATCTTTATTTTCAAGCGAAATAATTTCATCCTAGGAGTTAGTAAGTCCATCAAAAAAATATAATGGATGCATTTGGCAGAAAAAGAGGAATTTCCAAAAGGATTAGATGTTTCTTACTTTAAATGATGCGTGTTTATTAATATTGCAAGCTCATAAATTAATCGTGATTTATGCAAATTTCAGATCTCAGTGGTGCGTCAAGGTAATGAAACTTATACGACTAAAGGACTACCTTTAAATTTACAAGGAAATTGCCATTTTCATGGGAAAGTTGTATCTCATGGTAATGTCTCAGCAGCGATTTCTAATTGCAAAGATCTAATGGGTACTATTATGATGGATGACCATTTCCTCTTACTTCAAGCAATTCCAAAGCGTTTTAAAAGTGATCAGGTATATTTAAGAAATTCTGCAGCGTTTTTAATCCTGAATCCAGATGCTGCATTTTTATACTACATTTATTTAATTAACAATTTCAAATTTCTTCATTTTTTAATGGTCATATTGCCAACTCATCTGAGGTGTGTACTTGGAACTTATGGAATCTTTAATATTTAAGGAAGCAGATCATATTATTTATAAAAGACAAGCAAGTTTATTATTGCCCTGGGAAAAAACACTAAATGATGAACTTTATCGATTCGATTCCAATGATTTAGTTTTCGATAAATTCTGCGATATCAATGATTCGATTGACGAGCCTTCAGGATCAAAAAAATTTGAAGGTTGGCTATTCTTGCAGAAATTAAGTATTTTTCAAGTGAAGTAAATAATCACATACAGTCATTTTCTTGATTTTTATTGGCGCATAATTTTTCAGCTGAAGAAGCCTATTCAAAATATAAAATTCCGCCAGAATCAAAGTTGGATTCATTATACATTTTTCCACAAATGGATCCGTTAACCATCGAACTTGCTTTATTCTTGGACTCAAAATTGTTTGAACATTTTACAAGAGAATATGAACAAGATACTGAACAACATTTAGTTGATTTTTCACTAGCTTTAATCAACAATGTCCACATGCTTTATCAACAATCATCGATTTCACCTAATTTGGAAATTGTTATTGTAAGATATGAACTGTGGAAGACGCAACCAGTATGATATTTTTTTAATCTCGGAATTTTAAATCTTCAGTAGTTCATTACTTCAATAAATATAATCGAATCATAGTTACGAGTGTGCTTTTGGTTGAAGTGTCTCATAGATTATGGTTTCTTAAAAATAACGAGGTGCCAAATTTACTTAAAAAAAATAAGGGTAATTGTCCTTGTTTCTATGAAAAACTCAAATTATTAGCATTTCACTTTATAAATGATAATAATTTATTGTAATAATAATTTTTCATCAATAAATCAACGTAGATTGGCTTGGAAACAGCATCAAATCGTAATGGCCATGCTCGACTCATGCTTAATTTGTTTTCTCAATATCAAGCGTTTTATAATGTCGGAACTGATCTTACGGATGATGAACACTGGGATCATGCCGTTTTACTGACAGGGTTTTTTAATTCGCTTGTAAAATTTACTTTCATATAATAATTTTCATTAAATTATGCGATAGCAAATCAAAGTATTCGCCAGTTTTATTCGTTTAAGGTACGATATTTATTATACTACAACAGCTGTAGCAGGTGTCGCAACCATAGGTCAAATGTGCCATCATCTTCATTCGTCTAGTTTGGTAGAAGGAATCCATCTTGGACGATCATTTGTACTGGCGCATGAAATGGGGCACAAGCATGTTTCAGACTTGTTAGCTAAAATGATAGCCCTACTTGCTTATTCTATCACTCTATCAATCAAGAGACCCTTTGAACTCTAAAATTATACATCCTTTTTAATATTTAAGTCAGTAAAATAGTATTTTATAAACCTTTCACTGATTTTTTAATTTAAATACCAAATAAAATAAAATTTTTGTCTTATTTCTCAATTTTTTACTCAATTTATTATTGCCGATATAATAAATGTTGATAATGATCGCTCGATTAATCTTAAAATAACGAATTATATCTTAAGAAATAAGCAAACTTCAGTTTGGGAATGTCGCATGATGGCGAACACAATATGTGCAACCCGAGTTGTTGTTTAATGTCGCCAATGAATGGTGCAGGACGGACTACATGGAGCCCATGCTCGTTAAGAGAATTCAATGCTTTCCTAATGCAATTAGAGTATTTTTTGCATCATAATTTCTTGAATTTCGTTTCTTGAATTTGTTTCAAAAAAATATCTTCATTTAAGTGCCATTCATGGGAACTGCCTGCGCGATTCAGCTGTCGGCCTTGAAGACTACAATCATCAAAAGGATGGTAGATTGCCTGGTCAACGTTTCACTGCTGATCAACAGTGCTCGTATTTCTATGGAAGAGATTATCAACTACAACTTCCTCCTGGGAAAGATATGAGTGTAATAATTTATTTGAATCTAAAATTCGTTAGAATTCGTTATTCGAATTTTGTACAAAAGAGCCATGGTTTTTTTTGCCATATTTTTGAAAAAATCTATTTAAGAAAATCGATTGTGTATTTGGTTTTCTACAGATTTATTTTAGGAAATATGTAGAGTATTATGGTGTGGTAGCAATGGTTCACCAAGGACCACAGCACATCCAGCTTTGGAAGGGACTTCTTGTGGAGTCAAAAAAGTGTAGAATGCTATCATAATCTTATTAGTCTTATTACAGCTTATTTCAAGACGAAAAAGCTTATTTCGAAATATAGTTCAAACTACTGCATTTTAATTTATTCATTTATTAAGCATTTCAGTTTACAATGGCCCATAAATTTTTCTCCTAGTAAATACGAAATTGCAGTTCTGCTTAGAAGGCAAGTGTCGCAATTGGATTAATGGCAAAGCTCCTGAGCCTATTGACGGTCAGTGGTCGGCATGGAGTGGTCAAGAAAAGCGTTGCCCAATATCGCAATGCCAAATTACAGGCAGTATCCACATAAAAGGCCAAATAAGAACCTGCACAAATCCCGCGTCCGTTCTCATAAAAAATTTGCTGAATTAATCATTCTAATAATTAATCGCTGGATAGTCCAGCAGAATTATATTCCAAAATAACGGAAACTCTGTAAGAAAATAAAAAATTTAAGAGTAATTTTTTTCGTTTAGACCAAATAATGGCGGTCGTACTTGCCACGGTTCCAAAGTTCGTGGCTTACTATGCAAAGAATCGACATCATACTGCAAACTGTATTCGAGAGAAAAATATGGGAATATTGTATGCAGCGAATCTAAAGAGAAAGGCGATGAACCCGATTCTCAGTTAACTGGATATGCTTTTATGCGTACTAAATTTCCATTTATTTCTGTCGTCTCATTTATTATTTGCGTGGTTTAAGCTCGTGCAATGCACCATTCATTAGAATAAATTTTTGGAAAATAACCAATGAAAAAAATTGATATCGCCACATCAGATGCCTTGGTTTGGATTCTCTTCCTTTTATGTCATTAAAAAAATCTAGGGGAGGCGAAGTGGTTAGATCGTTTCTTATTTGATTTATTATTCACGAAAACTGCTATGAATTCTAAAAAAATTATAGATGCATCTCAACCATGCAAAGTTTGGTGCCATTTGAAAGGTACAGAACTTATTCGTAATAAAGGTCTCTATCCAGATGGATCACCTTGCGGTGCAGAAAAATACTGCGTCGGTGGATCTTGTTTGGTAAATTTTTATTCAATTTTAGAAAATTTAAATGATCCTAAAATTCTTTGTGATTGAATTGTAATTTATTTATTTATTTAAAAAAAATTTAACATGACACAATAATTCAGATTTTATCATGTAACAAATCAGCTCTTATTTTTGATCAAGCCGATTGCCCTACCGAAGACGATTTAGCTTTTCTTGGATGGGGTGAATGGAGCCGTTGGACAAAATGTTCCGTATCTTGTGGTTTAGGAGGTGTCCAACAACGTACAAGGCCGTGCAACCAGGTTTTGAAAATTGAAATTTTTGCCTAAATATTATTATTTTCAGAGTTTGGTTTGGATTTTACGGTTATTGGATACTAATAATAAGAAATTTAGAATTCTTGTGCTGGAGCGAAGGAGCAATCACGATCATGTGAACCTCATCCATTGGAATGTCCAAGAACTGAATATACTGAGTGGACTGAATGGTCTGAATGCAGCACATCTTGTGGTGAAGGCCAACGAAGAAGAAAAAGGTCATGTATTGGAGCCACAACTTGTGCTGGCAATAGCTCGGAAATTGAATTTTGCAAAAAAAATGTTTCTAATTCATTCTAATCCTTTTAAATTAATCGTTCAGCACGGTCTTATCGAAAAAATGAAGATTTTTCCGAATATCAACAATTTCAAATGCAATTTGTAGGATTGCATGGTTGAATCGTGGGGCTCCTGGCTGACATGTTCAGCATCTTGTGGTATGGGCTTTCAAATCCGTGAACGCTTCTGCAATAATACTGTTTGTTCTAGTGGCGAAAAGCAAGCGAGAATATGCAGTGAAAAAGTTTTTATTAATTTATGGAAGAATGAAAGAAATACAAATAAAATATGAGTTAACACTGTAAGAACAATAACAATAAACTGCAGGAATGTATTAAATATGAGAATATTTATAATTGGGAAAACTGGTCCGAATGGGGTGTTTGTTCGAAAACTTGTGGTGAAGGAGTACAATCTCGAACTAGAAAATGCCAAAAAGGTAAAGGTAAATATTGGATAATTATCACACACAACTGATAAATGAGAATTATCTGGCTCTTTTTCAATTAAAATAATTAATTAATTAAAATAGTAAAATGGCTAAACAACTGTCTGACAAATTTAAGATGTCTTTTATTTGCACTTATCAACAGTCTTCCGGCAATACTTTTACTATTTCAGGTCATTGTCCGAAATCAGATGTGGTTACAGAACAACGTCACTGCGTCCTTCGTCCATGTCCGCAATGGAGTGAATGGTCATCATGGTCAGAATGCATGAGTTGCAATAAAAGCGAAAAACGCCAGAGAGCGCGGCAATGTGAAGTAGGAATAATCCGATCAGGAGAACCGGACTTAGAATGTTCTGGTATATTTAAGAACTTCTTTTTTATTTTATAGTTTTTTAATTTTTTTCATTTTTATTTCTGCTTGAATTTTGATTTGATTGCGTTTAAAGTGCTTCATTTTTTCTAATATTCTTATTTTAAATTGGCGTTATATTGCAGGCGTTTCACATGAAACTGAACCATGTGACTGTAATCTATTAAATTTTGGGAGAAATCCAAATAATTTCACTAATACCGTTGAATCCATTGCTTCCACTACAGATAAATACGATAAGGATAAAATCTGGAATGAATGGCAGTCGTGGCAACCATGTACCGTATCTTGTGGAGGGGGTGCTAGATTAAGGTTTTTTTGCATATATTTTTCAAAATACAAAAAAACGATGTTTTGTATACTAAATTTAGAGTGCGAACATGCCGCATGACTGAAATTGCATGTCAGTCGATTGGTGTTCAATTGGATGCTGAAGTTTGCAATCAGAAATCTTGTGATGATGGTATTATTACTACTTTTCTAATATCTTCCATTATCTCGCTTTTTTTCATCACCAATATTTACAAGTTCCAATGTTTAAAAATGTTTCAACTTGCCTTTAACTAATAATCTGCAGCAGGTATGTGGTCCGAGTGGAATCATTGGACATCGTGTTCAGCAACTTGTGGAGGTGGCATGCAAAGTAGACGTAGAAAATGCAAAGCTACATTTGTATTTCTCTGTGATGGGATTTCGGAAGAAGAGCGCCAATGCGCTAACGATTCATGTACATTTGAGCTGATAGGGAATATTTCCGTGTATGCAGATAACTTGGCAGATGGTTAGAGAAATATACTAACAGTGAAAACTCAGCAGTTTAAAGCAATATTTTATTTTTCCATTCTCTTTCTGCTCAAAATTACCTATTGCAATAACAAAATTTCTAGAACCTCATTGGAGTACCTGGAGCTCATGGTCGAAATGTAGTTGCTTCACGATGAAGAAATTTCGTCGTAGATATTGCCAAATAAGAGATCCATCTTTACAAGGATTTTGCTTGGGTCCTATAATTGAAGAAAAGCTATGCGTTCCCAGCACATGCGGTTAGTTTTCATAAATAGGATGGTTAGAAAATGTAATCGAATGATGGATTCATTATTTCAATTTATCTAGTTTAAAATTAATCTTAAAATTCTTATTTATAAAGATGAGTTTGTAACAAATTTTTCTCCTCCTGGAATTTTTAAGTAAATGAAAGATGAAAGAAAACCAAATCTAATTAAATTGATTGAAGAATCTGAAAGCGGTGGCTGGTCAGATTGGAATTCTTGGAGTAAATGTTCTCAAAATTGTGGTGCGACAGGATATCGAATACGCAATCGAATGTGTTCTAATCCTATACCATCAAACAGGTCAGCAGATATACCACAGATAATTTGGTGATATTCAGTGATATTACTTTTTTAAGCAGAATAGCAGAAATTTACTACCTATTTTCATTTTTCTTTAAGTATTCTTCAAGTATTCTTTAATACTTAAATATCTTTAAGTATTCTTTAAGTATTTTAAGAATAACTATTTAAGAGGATCCTATTGTATTGGATATTCATTTGACCAAGGACCATGTTTCCCTGCAAATGAATGCAAAGGAACTCCAGTTGATGGAAGCTGGACAGGTTGGACCCAGTGGTCAACTTGCTCTGATGGCTGCGCAAACGGTCATCAATCACGCTCTCGGTATTCATTCAGTTATTCAAAAATTTCAAAAATATTTCGATAAGATTGATATTGCCCTGAAAATTTTGTTTCTATATTGAAATTCTTTAAAGGTATTGTGCGAATCCCAGGCCACTGAATGGTGGAGCTCTTTGTATTGGATCTGATTTTGAGTTGTCTCCTTGTTATAATTCAACTCTCTGCTCGAATTGTACGTTTTTAATTTGTTTTTAAAGTCCTTGAATTTTTTTATTCTTACATAAGAAAGCATGCAATTTCTGTTGTTTGCTGTAGCTGCATGGAACAAACGAGTAGCTCAATAAACTTTCCGGGAAAGCATAAATTTCTTTAATTTAATTCCAACATTGCACGGAATTGTAATAACTTCAGAAAATTGTGCACAAGTAATAGTTGAAAATTTTTATTTTTTTGCATGTTCTGCACTTCGCTTGCATAGCCCTATAGTTTTCAGCGATCGATGGTGGCTGGAATGAATGGTCACCATGGTCGAATTGTTCAGCCACTTGCGGCTTTGCATTTAAATCACGCCAACGGCAATGTAATAGCCCTAATCCTATTGGTTCAGGGAAGAACTGTTATGGTCTGGCATATATGACTTCGATATGTGATACGAAATTTTGCGAAGGTCATTTTTTTTGCAAGAAAAAGCCAGAGTTTCTTTTTTTATAATATACCCTATGTGATTATTTTACAATATTTTATCTTCCCTCTGAGGTGAAATAAGTAGCACGTGCGAACTTCGCAAAGATATGCTTATATTTTATTCCTGGCATTTTTTTACACCATTTCTGGTTTATCTGGTTTCTGGTTTACTATCTGTTAGAGTGAGATCATTTCGCAAAGAATCAATTGCGAAAATAATGTAGATGTACCAGCATCTGACCGAGGAATCAGATTTATGATTGCTTAACTAGGAGCAACACATCATCTTTCTCTCATTTTTGATTTTAAAACGATTTTAAAAATCCTTTTTTGACGGACGGACGGCTCTAGATGATTTTCAGATTTCGCCAATTTTTGTATGAAGTTTTCATTAGTGATGATATAAATAATTTGTGAAGGCAGCCTAAGTCGAAATAGATTAATCATAAATTAAATCGCAGATTCGGTGGATGGTCAGTGGTCATCGTGGAGCGAATGGTCGGCATGTGCTTCCATCTGTGGACGAAACACTAGAATGAGGTTATTTGTGTCGTAAAATGTTTATAACCTCCTGACAGAATAAAAAAAAGTTTAACAAAATGAAATTCTTTTTCGCTACACAATTCAAAAATTAAAAAATATTTCAAATAAGAATTTGGCAAAAATAAATGAATAAATAGAGATATCTATTGTTGACATTAATCAAAATATTACATAATAAATTTAATTTAACGAAATTTCGTAAAAATTCATTTATGCATTGTGCTTGCTTTTTTAACTTATAAAACAATTTAATGAGATTTGCATTTAAAATCGTCAAATCTTTATATTTAATTAACTGCTTTTATCTGATGCCACATGTTCCAATCATTCACCACATTCTCACCACTGCTTTGTATGATCAGAATTTGTTTAGAATCATTGCATGAAACAATCAAGCAATCTATGCACTAATATTCAAAGCCGTTCTGCTAGACTGATTCTTTTTGTAGATGTGAAAGAAGAATAAGAAGTTAATCTCTTATCTGAAGCTTTATCTTGCATTTAAATGGCTTTCTTCTGCAAAATTCTTTATTTGCTAGGAGATTCCTTTTCTGAATTCGCAATTGATACATAGTTATTATAGTTATTATGTTATTATAACAATCCCCTAAGTAAAAACTCATATGATATTATCGACTTGCTTTGCTCGACAAAGAAAGATAATATTGGGAAAAATCTTTTGCTCTTGTAAGGTCATTTTAGCTTTCATCACTATTTTATGAGAAGATATTAAGAAGATTATTTATCGAATGGGATGGATATTTAACTGAAACATAATAGGCTGAAAGTATAAAAATTGATTAATTAAGAAAAATACAGAATTCATTCAAATATTAGAATAAAATTGCAGAGAAAGGGAATGTACATCTCCAGCTGCATCGAATGGTGGATATCCTTGTTTTGGGCGTTCATCTGAGGTTTCAGATTGTAAGCTGAATCAAAGCACCGCATTCGATCAATGCTCAAATTTTATTCACCATATTCAGTTGCTTGATTCGAAAAGTTTGCTCTCTAGGTGAACAATAAAATAATCAGAGAATTTTTCGATTCTCGTGTTTTTCTATTTATTTAAAAGTTAATGTTGTTATTGTATTATCCACTTTGCTGCCCTTTAATAGAGATAAATGATCTCAATTTCTTTATTTATTTTTATCATTTATAATCTATGAAATCTATTTATATTAGCGAAAAGCACCTATCCTTATTCTAAAATAAAATTACATTTATTTATTTTTTTCGACTGTCATTAGATTTAAAAGCTCGATTTAAGCTCAAGTTAAATTTTTTTCTTTAGCATTAATTGATAAAATTTCTACAGTTGCCTTTAGTTTTTAATCGAGTGAAAATGAACTAAGAAGTGGCTAGGGATTGTAATTTCTAGTCAAGTTTGCTCTACATGCGAATTTTTTTGTGAGGGAGCCACTTGGCGATAGAAATGGTCAGGTCAGCCCTCAGCATTATTTGTTCTGAACGAATATTATTCGTCAATTTTCTTCAAGTTTTATATGATTTATATATTTCTTATATCTAAACTTTTCTAGGTTATTTGGATTTTTTTTATTTATTATTATTCGCTCTTAAGTTCAATCGATTATTTCATGGTTTTATCATACTGTATGTATATGCATTCCTCTCATTTCCTTAAAAGTTTGTTCTGCCATTTATTATTTAATAAAAGTCAGAATTATTATTTCCTTCTTTGTGAGAATTTTTGTAGCATTTCTAGAAAAATTTTTAACAAGGCAAGGCAAGTATATTACCTTTGACCTCATTTTAATCAAAGGCGTTTTGCCTTTTTTGTCTAATAAATATTCACCAGAAGGTTGTGAAGACATTTTAATCTTAGTTTTCACTGGTTATCTGTTTCTTCGCTATGTCGAAGAGCATGAATGAATTTTTTATTACTTAATATTCCGGCATCGTAGAAAACAAATAGTCATGTGGGACTCCTCGGGTAACCAACTCTTCAATCAGATTACAGCGTCGCCTAAGATCTTTCAACTATCTCAAACTAAAAAATTTAGGGGCAGTGAGCGTATTTCAAACCGAATTATTTTGAAGCATCTCAATGGTATAAATATTAACGATTTTTCTGGGACAGCAAATACTGGTCCCAACCAGAGGTCTGTCTCCGAAAGTCAATCACTTCCAGTTAGGGCATATTAATAGCAAATACGCTAGTTGGGTATAAGAAGCAATTGTCCATCTGTCTGAAAACGCTGCCAAAGAATATTAGGAGGTCCTGACTATCGAATGCTTTTATCGAAAAATTGCTATAACAGCAGCACGGATAGAAATCGCTATTGGAGCGACACGATTTTGAGAATGGAGATGGCGACTCGATTAGGCGATAATAGGAAACTATTCCGCCTTCTTCATAAAGCAACTATGACTCGGGGTATGATCAATGAAATGGTAAGGCAATACCAATCAAAAATATTAAAGACCGCCTCATAAGTTGGAAGGAATTCTTTGATGCTAAATTTAACCACAATGCGCCATCTGTTACAGGAATTAACTTATTTGTTCGTTGAACCATACGTTTGCAACTGCGAACCGCCAATAGAAGAGGAAATCATCTCTAATATATAGAAATTAAAGCCAATAAAACTTTTGGAAAAGATGGTCTTCGGGTCGAACTCTTCAAATGTTGTCCATCATCTTTCACAGCGCACCTTCAACAAATGTAGTGTTTCTGGTATGGATGAAAGAAATATTACCAGATGACTGGAGTAAAGCAATTCTGCTCCTAATTCTCAAGAAAGGTAGTAGGACACACTTCGACAATTATCAATCTACTAAACGTCAAAATTTCTGTTTCTCTTCGATTTAATAGATTTATGTAGCAGGATGTGACCTAATCAAGCTGGATTCATGCGGTTGTGTTGATCAAATATTCACATTAAGACGGGTGTTAGAACATCGCTTCAAATTTCTCCAACCCACCGTTATATATGTTTCATCGACTTTGAGGCTGCCTTCGATTTAGTCGAAAGAACGGCGCTTTGGACGATGGAATGTGACGGTATTCCAGGGAAGATCCAGATTCGACTCATAAAGACATTTTATCAGCTTGCTTCGGTATAGATCTATTGGAAACTGATAGATTATTTCGAAATAATAGCTTCTATCCGTCAAGGTCCTTTCTTCTACAATATTTTACCATACGATAGACTGGATAATTGCTTGCCGGCACTCAAGAGGTGTATAAATCAGTCCGGTGCATCGTATCACAGATTTTAATACGCTGATGATATAGTCTTTTTTGCTGTCGGTTATGACAAAATGCAGCATAATGTTAAACAATGTGAAGAACTGCAACTATGTGAAGAATTGTACTCAAAATGTAAATAATATAAATAAAACGAAAGGAATTTTATCAGCTTACATCGGCATAAATCTATCAATGTTTTCGTCTTATATACAAGATGATGATAAAATACCTATTTTTATCAATTCATTACCGATTGGATCCACTCTAATCTCAAATGTCTAGGCAAGGGATAAAAATGCAACTCGGACAACGATAAAATTGTATTTTTCTGGTTGATGAAACCTTTATGGAATCGTCGCGAAATCACCACAAAGACGAAAATCCGCGTCCATGCAGTTGCAATTCGTTCGATCTTGCTATCTAGCCCTGAAATATGGCCAATGAGAATGGAAGATATTAAGAAACTATCAGCCTTTGACCACTCTTGTCTAAGATATTTTACAGATCTGTAGAGCGGATAAAATCGCACCTGGTTATATCCATCTTCGCTCAAATAATACCTGTATTACTAATGTTATCACGGAGGGTCGCCTTCGCTGCTTAGGGCACGTCTTTTGTCCTCCACTACAGTAGTTTATTTCCTTACTTGCCGAACCATGTGATGGTATCAAAAGCGAGCATCAATCAAGGCCTGGACTGAAAGTTTTTATAGGTGGTCAGCAATGTTTAGATGTTGGAAGAAGGAATGGCTTCTGTTACTGCTAACGAAGGCATTAGATAACAGCTTGGAAACGTCTTACCCTTGAAGCAGTAGAACCAGCCTAACCAGTAAAAATCTTACTGTTGCTTATTTCTAAATCCTATCATGCAATTCTGATGATATGAACTTTGACTAGCCCTTTAAGCCTTTCGCATACACCTTTCTGCTGCTTTGTAGCAAGTAAAGCTAATCGGTTTACAATTAGCAAGCTAGATAGATTTTTTCTTGTTTCTCAATATTTTCTTGTTTCTTCACGTTAGCTATCTTCTATATACTTATATATATATATATATTTATACATATCTTATGATCTTTTTAAATAGAATTTCTTCGAAAAGGTAATGATATCTTACTTAGACTCTTAAACTCTTTTAAGACCTTTTAGGACTTTTTGGGACCTTTTTTTTATAAATAGCTTGCAAACTTCATAATCTCATGCAAAAAGATTTATTGGGTTAAAAATTATTTGAAATTATGACGATAACGATGATATTTGTGGAAATTATGAGATATAAATTAATTATCTTATTTTAAATAATTATCTTCACTAGTCCTTTTCATCATAATGACCATTAAGCGATGACATTTATCGCTCCTTCTTACTCGAATAGAATATATTAAGGTCTTTCATCATACATCAATAGCTCAGAAGCGACATGTTCAAAAGATCTCAAGGAAGTATACAGCATTATATACAGCATTTTCAATGGCTGATCCTATTTTGACTAATGCAAAATAAAAATGCTTAGCATTTTGTGTATTTGCCAGTTGCTGTGCTGTTGCTCCAACAACTCAAAATAATTTGCTTTATAAACGCCATATTTTCAGCCTTTTAATTTGTTTGTTCTCTATCTTATGGGATTATTATGTCTAACAAGTAAGAAGAAGTAACACTGCGAATGCCTATTGCCGAGCTTGTTCCGAGCGGTACCAAGGTTTAACCCATTACACAAGCAGTAGTGAAGCTGTAATTGGAGCTCTTGATGGTCCTAGGGGCTCACAATTTTATCAATATTTTATATATATTTTATAATATTTCTCTTCATTTTTTCTTTCTTAATTTAATTTATGAAATTAATTTCGTTCTTAATTTCTTAATTTATCTTAATTTAATATATGTATCATTTTATTATCTATAACATTATCATTTTTATATTATTTTCATTGATAAATGGTTGTTAATATTCCAAAATTTATAAAATTCGGACATCAGATTCTCTTTATTCAAAATTCATTTTCATTTAAAACGAAAAGAAATTTTATAGTTTTTCTAATGAAATCATCTCAAATCTTGGCCTTAATCTATTGGTAGGATATTAATAATTTCCCTTTCCTTTTCTCGTCTTTCTCACTTTATTAGTATTATTTTATTTTAATTGTCAATTCGTCAATTCGTTATTATTAACATCAACATATGGTTCACGCTCGTTTGGGTTTTTGACAATGAATGAGTAAATTTGGAAAATAGGGATTTCATGGAATTCAAATCTGTGCAACTGGCTATCTTGTGCTTGCACTTGGAAATAATCATAAAAGATGGCATATTAATGATATTCAAGTAGATAATAGGATAATGTGTAATATCAAATCGGCCCTAGGGTTGCAAGATAATTTGCGAAAGATTCCTAATATGCTCGAATGTTGAATATCTTGAAGGCATGCTCGAATGTGAAATAAAGACAAATGAAATATTACAGGCTAATTAGCATCTTTATCAACATGGTCTTGACAGCTTTTAGCAAAAATGGATCTTATATAACCTTACTGCTTGCCCATCTAATTGCCATTTTAGCAAGTCAAGTATGTTTTCCATATTTTAAACAAATATTAATTAAATTGTAATATTGCTAAAATATGCACAGCACACTGATGTATTTATGCTAGCGACTAACTCAGTCTTAACATGAATTTATGTTTATTGACGAATATGTTGAACGGGAAAAAGTCTGTAGAAATAATTTCAGTAAAACTTCGCAACAACTACGATATGCAAATTCTAGAAAACCTCATGAATTGCTATTAATTACGGTTATGCAGATAAATGCGGTTAATTGGTATTAATTATTGCGTTATTGTACATATGATTTCAGACATTTCATGAGAATCTGAACAAGTTCGAAAGAATGAATATGTTTGGCGTGGAAAATGTGTCAGATGTGCCGGATTATAAATTTGTTAGAATAAATAAGACGAAATTGGATGATGGACGACTGAAGTTAAATTTTTTTGCTTGGGGATCAGAATACATATTAATGTTATCCCCAAATCTTCATTTAGTAAGTCCTGATTTGGTGAGTTCTTCTTTTAGTTCTTTTTTCTACACCTTAGCGCATATTCAAATAGAGATAAAAATTTGCATTACCAAATGAGATTCGCGATTTGTCATGAGGATTGATTGTTGCGTTAAGCTTTAAAGCTGCATATTGCTTTAAGGTCAGGCATCATTTTTGTCGGATGAAGGTGGATGTCTTTGGATGATGATGAAGTGCCAAGCATAACTAACCATCCTCAAATGGCTCTCTGTCGAAATGACTTCGTCTTAGTAGCCAGCTTAGGTGGCATGTTGGGTGAGTGAACAGTAGTTCAGAGTATTTAGAAACAAAGATTTGACTTCTGCCTTCGAGAGCAGGAAAGTAATCACCGAATTCCGGATAGTAGGGAGATTAACTGTGTTTCCATCACCAAATAATCTTCTAGCAAACTTTTCAAGAGAACAAGAAGTGTTAGCCTAGATAAAAATGATAAATGCTAACCACTGATTAATGGTATCAGCCAAAGTAAAATTTTCCTTTTTCTGTTATTAAATAAAAGTGAATAAGCAAGAGATTATTAGCAGTTATTGTTCCCGACTTTTCTGGTTCGCTTTTCTGGTCATTCATAGGATGCGAAGGATACATTAAGGAAGAATTTAGAATCATAGGCATTTTATCACCATTAATTGCAAAAATGATGGCGATTTCCATTAAATGGAATTCAATATTGTAGACTTCGGTGATACGAGATCATAATGGTACTCATATATATAATGGTCTTCCACCAGGAATTAAGATGGAGCAGTGTAATTATATCGGAGACGTTGTGTCGCATGTCGGCGCTTCTGCTGCAATATCGGATTGTGGAGATATTACTGGCACAATTATTACAGAAAATGAGACATTGATATTAGTCGCTATTCCAAAGCGATTTCAAATTTTCGGAGTGATTTATTTTAATTTTCTTTAAAAAATGGAATAAGTGATTTTCATACGGAAATCGAAGAATTTTAAAGAATTTCAAAAAATTTCATAGATTTCACAAATTTCACAAATTCGCTATCTTTGTTCAACCATTTAATAAATCATTAAATCATTAAAAGCTAGAAATATGTTTAGATCGAAATTTTATACAAAAGTAATCGCATACATCAGACATTAGGAAAGACCGAAAATGATAAGGCAAATGATAGCGTCAATCAAGCAAAAGGTAAGTTCTTAAAAATATGTAAACTGATAAGTAGATTGTATAATGCACTAAAGATTGGGAATTTCGCTTAAAAATTAGTAAAACAGTGGTTATAGAAGTGAACATAACCATTTTTATGTGCAATGTTTTGATTTTGAATTTTACAGCTAAAGCGAATGGATATCGACGAAGTCGGAGACTTGCAAAGACTCCATTTCAACACGCTTCACCGCAGAAAATTCATTCATGGCAGAACCCTCATCAAATTTTCTTTGATGTTTTTTCAGGCGCGGTAATTGGTAAAAAGTCTAATGCTTATTCATGGCCTAATGCGTATTTGCAACCGAACATTTATTCGCACCCAAATATTTATTCGTACCCAAATGTTTATCCACTGCCAAATTCATATTCTCAATCAAACATTCATTTGCCGAGTAACCTTCAATCGCCTAATATTCATTCCAATGTTCAACCGCCCAGTGTTCAAGCACCTAATATTTATTCCCTACCCAATGTTCAACCGCCCAATATTCATTCCGCACCCAGTGTTCAAGCACCTAATATTTATTCCCCACCCAACATTCATTCGCCCAGTATCCATTCATCGCCGATTCATTTGAATAAATTTGGGCAGTTACTAACTATCGAACTGGCTGTCTTTGTGGATCTTCAGTTTTTTAGTTTATTCGAATATGTCTTTCAAACAGATGTTTTCGCGCATTTATACAACTATTCATTGGCGTATGTTAACAATGTTGCATATCTCTTTGCAAATTCGTACTTAAATGTGCATTTGGTGATCACTCATTTCGAGTTATGGAGGACGCAACGAGTAACACATTTTTATTCACTGAAATTAATTTATACAAATTTATGAATACACCATAGAATTCAATTTACTTCTATTGTTGCTCATGATAAAAATTAATGAATGGGAGTTCTAAATTATTTCGTTACAACTAAATTTTAGCACTACATAAACAGCACATGGCTTGAACGGGAAAACGCAGAAATTTTCCATGAAGCATTTTCAAAATATCAGCAGAATATAAATCCTGGAAGCAAAATTGCGAATGCCGATCATCATTACCTGATACACTGGGATCATGCTGTACTTCTAACGGGATATGATCTTCATATCGACTGGATCGGGTAAATAAAAATGTGAATTTATATATATATATATTTTAGAAATTGTCATTGTTTTTTTACTCATTTTTGCAAATTAGTTCATTTTCTCTCTTTATTTTCTTGTAAATAAATAACGAAAAGAATAGTGCGGTTGCTGAAAAACTGGTGAATTTTCTCAAACTATTTGCAGAGGAGTAAAAAAAGATTTAATAGTTGAGGAATTACCAATGGATGGCGATCCCTTGGCCAAATCAGTGAAATTAAAGAAAAAATTCCTCGCAAAAGGGTATATATCTTCTTTTCAATATTCGGCTCATAATTTTCTATATTTTCGTTTGTTGCACCAAAAGTAATTAAATTGATAATTATCAGCCATTAACTATGGTGAATCATTATGCAATCTAATTATCGTTTCTCACCAAAGGAAATTTGTTTTACAAATAAAGAAGAGAAAAAATCCAGTCTTAGGGAAGCGTTTTAGTGAAATATTTTCGCTTTCTTCCTAGGCTTCCTTGTTCTTTTTTGAATATTTTGGATTTTGAACGAATTACATTATTTCCATAAGTATGAAAAAGAAAAAGAGTTGCAGTAAAGATTACAACCATATACTAAGGAAGCGGGTGGATAGTTATTCGAAATTTGGCAAAATATGTGATCAACTGTATTCGACAAGTGTTGTGAGAGCGACCAATCTAGGAACTTCGCATCATTTTGCGCATGCTTTAGGATACAAGTATCTTAAAAGATTTCAGTAGATGTATTTAATCAGCGAAATTGTGGCTATTTACTTGTAAGACAAAATTTTAAAAAGAGTTTTTCAAAGTAGAAAGGTCTTTTTATTTTTTTGTTCAATTTTTCAATAAGGAATACCTTTGTTTCAGTTGAAGAAATCTTGGCATAATACAATTTGAAATGATCAGACTGGAAGGTACATTTACATAATTTTGCAGCTTGGGTTTGACTCTTGATGGTAAGGAAAACATATGTCGCGATGTTGGTATAATGTCACCTGAATCTTTAACTAGAAAAAATACATGGAGCACATGTTCAATTTCTGAATTTCACCACATTATAGAGCGGATGAAGTTAGTTTCATCTCTTTATCGAGTAAAAATCTTTTGAATATGAAACATTTTCATCTCCATAGAACAAACGATTGTTAAGCAAGATTTAAAAAAATATTTTGATAGAATGTTTTTTCAGCTCTGTAAAGGGGAATTGTCTAATGGACCAAGCTTATTGGTCACTCTATAATGAAAATAGAATCATGCCTGGTCATCGTTTTAGCGCTGACGAACAATGCATGTTGTACCATGGCAAGCAATACAAAATGGTACTTCGTCCAGGCAAAAATATAAGTGTATGTATTGCATTTATAATTTCAGTATCTTAAAAACAATTAAATATAATTTTAAGAACAAGTAGTTCTTGGTTAAAATGATGTTAAAAGTAATACGAAAAATTGCTTGCAAAATACAATGTGAAATGGTTATTAATAATTGAGTAAAATCAATTTACGGTAGAAGTCAATTTGTTTATATATAATATGTTGAAGAAAAATTCCTATAAGTGAAAGAAAAAATTTAGACTATATGTGAACGCTTAACCTGCGGTGGAATTGGTCTTCGTGTGAAATATGCAGGAAGTGCAGCAACAGGCACTCTTTGTGGGCACAAAATGGTATAGATTTTGACTTGTTAATCGCATTTTCTTATATCCACGCTTGATAAAACCGTAAATTTTGTTTTGGTTTTATCTTCCTACCGATTTTAGTTAATGTTAGTTTTTTCTATCATATTCCATTTTTCCTAAACAATTTTCAAATTCGAAAACGGAAATTTTTTTTGGATTATGAGGAAATTTTAGTACTGCTTTTACAACCGCTGCGTAAGGTGGCCATTTCGAGATAATCCTGAACCAGTGGAAGGACAATGGACGAAATGGGATCGTGCAAATCATTATAAAGCAGACAGTAAATGTGTAATTGCTGGCAGCATTCCGATAGCTATACAGAAGAAACAATGTATAATGCATGCGTTAGTTCTTTTAACAAATTCTTGCATTTCAGAATATTTACAATAGAGAGACGGAAATTTAAAAACCATATCATATTTTCGAAAAGCGTTTAACGAAAAATAAATCTTCAATTTAGGTCAAATAATAGTCTTCCATGCGTTGGCATAAGTAAAAGAGGAATTACACTTGACAAGCCGATATCAACTTGTAAGGGAAAACCGAGAAAGATTTATGCAGATTCTGTGTGCCGTAATAAGGCCAAAGCAAAAAAACATCTGAATTTGACTGGATCCTCCACTTTTTGTAATTCCCATTTATTTATCTTTTTGTTAATATTAAAGCAGAAATTTCGATCGAAAAGCGCCCGATATTTTCAATCAACCTCGACATTAAGAATATTCTTTTATTGGTCAATTTCCCACCTTTAATACAATGGCATTCGGGCACACAATGCATTGCGAAGAATATTTTTGGTGTTATGACTCTATCTATCCTCTATTTTGGTATACGAAAACAATTTAAACAATTTAGAAACCAAACACTTCGAGCAAGTTTTGAAACAATTTATGAGATTTTTTAGACGATGAAGAGAGATGTGAAGTCTGGTGCAAAATAAAAGCGACATACCATCTTTTCCAAGCTGGCCTTTTCCCTGATGGATCTCCTTGCGGTCAAAATAAATATTGTGTCGATGGACATTGCATGGTAGGAATTTGAAGTTTCTTTTCTTTCTCAATTTTTAAAATCAAGAATATGGCCAACTTATCAAAAACAATTCAGAGATTGGCCTGTAATAACACACTTCTGGTTGATGAGGAGAACAAAGAAGATTGCCCATTGGCGAAGGAGTTACCTATTCCACAATGGAGTAAATGGACTGAATGGTCGCCATGTTCAACTACGTGTGGGCCTGGCACGCAAAGTCGATTAAAGCGTTGTGGAGGAGTAAGCCTTGCAATTTGCTATTCTTGGTAATGTGGTGATGAATGCCTAAGCCTAAGCCTCAAATACTAGATATGTTTTGCAAAATGCATGCATATTTTAATTCCATCTGTTTCAGCCAGGTGGTGGAAATTGTCCTGTGAAAGATGAAGAAGAAATTCGTTATTGTAAATTCACACGAGCATGTCCAACGACAACTACAGTTCCTCATCCTTCTATACCAAGCCCATGGGCCGAATGGTCTCAATGTCCCGTCACATGTGGCATAAGCTTTCAGGCTAGAATGAGGAAATGTCATCAGGTTCATATCATTTCGCTCATATGAAATTGCACATTTGCAAATTTTTATTAATGATTGTTGAAGAATTTAATATATTATATATACCAAATTATTTATATTTAGGATCATTGTGTCCCAATTGATATACGATTTTGTACACCCGAATTGCCTAGATGTCCAAAAGAAGCCACCCAACGGCCAGAAATCAAAAATGAGATTGATATTTGGACGACATGGTCGACATGTTCAGTCACATGCGGTGCCCATGGTTTTCAACAACGAATAAGGATTTGTGACGAGGTGATTACAATTTGAATTTAAAAATGCAGCCATAAAAACTATGTTTTTCGCATAGATAAGCATAAAAAATTTTTATTCAATTCAGAAAATTTGTGGATCAATTGTTCGACCGTGTGTTCCAAAACCATCACAATGTTCGCAGGAAAAGAGCGTTTCCAAAAAATCGACCACAATTTTACCAAAGTTGACCACATCCGCAACTTTACCAGTGCTGATTGATTGGCCGTGCGCTCGAATAACGCCACCGTATTCGCAAGAAAAGAGCGTTTCCAAAAAATCGACCACAATTTTACCAAAGTTGACCACATCCGCAACTTTACCAGTGCTGATTGATTGGCCGTGCGCTCGAATAACACCACGGTATTCGCAAGAAAAGAACGTTTCAATAAAGTCAACAGCAACTTTATCAAAGTTGACCCCAACTCCAACTTTGCCGAAATTGACTACAACCGCAAGTTTGCCAGTGCTGATTAATTGGCCATGCGCTCGAATAACGCCACGGTATTCGCAAGAAAAGAATGTTTCCAAAAAGCCAATCGCAATTTTATCAAAGTTGACCCCAACTCCAACTTTGCCGAAGTTGACTACAACCACAACTTTTCCAAAGCTAGTTGATCGGCCGTGTGCTCGAATCACATCGCAGTATTCGCAAGAAAAGAGCGTTTCCAAAAAGTCAACGACAACTTTATCAAAATTGATCACAACCCCAACTTTGCCGAAGTTTACTGATTGGCCGTGCGCACGAACAACACCGCGGTATTCGCAAGAAAATGTTTCCAAAAAGTCAAGCGCGGCATTACTAATGGTGACCACAGCTAAAACATTTACAACCAGAACCAAGATAACCACAATTGGAATTTTACGCAAGCTGACCACAACAGGAACGTTACGTAAGGTGACCACAACTGGAATGTTACGTAAGCTGACCACAACCGGAACATTACGTAAGCTCGCCACGACCGGAACGTTACGCAAGCTGACCACAACCGGAACGTTACGCAAGCTGACCACGACCGGAACGTTACGCAAGCTGACCACGACCGGAACGTTACGTAAGCTGGCCACGATCGGAACATCACGTAAGCTGACCACAGTTGAAATATTGCCAAAGCTGATCACAAACACAAGCTCATCAAAACCGACCACAATCACAGCAAGCAGTATACCAGGTATGTGGAGTGAATGGTCGCATTGCTCAGTTACTTGTGGCAGAGGTGGCACTCAAGAGCGAAGAAGAACTTGTCGCCAGGTAATGCTTTCATATATTCAAGCAAAATTTCATTTTTTTTTATTCTGTAATGTGCGAACCTAGAATTGTTCAGGAGCCTTGCAAACGACGAGAAACACGATTCTGTGTCTCGGAAGTAGTTGATTGTGCTGGCTTGGATAGTTATTCAGCTTGGAGTGAATGGTCAACATGCAGTGTTACCTGTGGCAAAGGCATTAAATCCAGAAATAGGGAATGTTTTTTACATACAGAATTATGCACCGCACATATTACTGAATCCATGGTTTGCGGAGATGGTCCATGCTAAATCAAATATTCTCTTTTAATCTTTGTATCTGTCTTTAAGTCCTTTTATTACTTTGTTCGCTGAATGATTTATCATTTTATTAGTGAAATCTTGCAATCATGAAAAATATGTATTAGTTCATTGAAATACGTTCATTGTTACTGGAGATATTAAACAAAAAATGGAAATAAAAATGGTTTGCTCAAAGGTTTATTTTAAATCTTTCATCAGAAAAAAAAATAAGTTTTATTCTGAAAATAAATAAAGTATGATGTGCGCGTGTTTTGGAGAAATGGTTAATGGAATCGAAATGGGAGGATGAAAGCTTTTAGATATTTGTATTTTTTTATTTAGAATTTAGTATTTATTTTTAGTATAATTTAGTATTTATTTTTTTATTTATTTATTTATGTATTTAGAAATATATTTTTTTAATTGACTATAGGAAAGTCCATGATTCAGTGTCCCACATGTGGATATGTGAATGTCTGGCTCTATAAAGTCGCCCGGACTTTCATCGAGAACTGAAGAGGACACTTGAAATCAACTTGAAACAGCTTACACAAGTGGCTATCAAGTGTATGTAAAGGTGATACACTGGAAGTATTGAAAAGGTCTGAACGTTCTCAGATAAATGCATGCAGATACAGGTCGAAAAGTGGAGCTAGCATCCATCATCTCTACACCATGTGATAGATGAAATCACATCAGTTGATAGAGAATGCGATAATTCACTTTTATCGAGCTCGAAATTACAAGAGTATTGAAGTATCATTCAGAATGGAGAAGTAGTACGGAGAGGAAAAGTACATAAGACTGGGTGAAACTATTAGCTACTTATAGCTACTTGGTATACCACAGTCACATGGCAACCATGATGAGGATGCGAAGAATATACCTATCCATGCAATATCTATGTATCACCAAAGAATAAGATAATTCCTGGAGAACTAGCTCAATGGGAAGAATAAAGCCCATATTATAAACATGTACGCCCTACCAGTCATCAGATCAGCTGGCATAATAAGATGAAAAAAGAAAGACATGGAGACTGCTAATTAAAGACCAGAAAACTCCTCACAAAGGATGAAAATTCCCAAAGACTATTGACCAGCTGAGAAAAAGGAGGATAGGGTTTAGTGAACATTAGAACCATTGTTTTAAACGAAGAAGCATTTAGAAATATATCAACAAGATGGCATCAAAAGATGCTGAAAGAATGAAGAATGAACATTGGAAAACGATCAAGCAGAGGAAGCACCATGGAAAAGTAAGACCTTCCATGGGTTACACCACTGACATTGAGAAATTCTACCAGTGGCTGGAAAAAGCTGGACCAGGTAGCATAAGCGCAGGTAGTAAACATTCACTTGATCCACTGAAGCAAGGGTCAGCTGCGGAAACGCGCTAGAAACGGTCTAGCACATAGTGACAGAATGCAGAAGCAGAAACAATATGCACTGACATCATCAAAGGCACAACCAGCTGGCATCATCTACAGGATTATGTGCTCAATATATGGCTTAAACTCTCCCAAGACTAGATGGAAGATTCCACAGAAAATAGTGAAAGCCAAGATCTTACACCAACAACATGGCACAAAAGAATGAGCTGTTGAGGGAATTCTTCCTCCGAACAAAGGTTCTGGTCAATCAGCCATACCGTAACAATGGACAAGGAACAAAAATCAGCGAAAGACCTAGCAATAGCAAGAGGTGGCAACATAAGGAAGAAGGGATAAGAGATAGAGAAATACTGAAACAAGAATTAGAGAAAATAGAAGCCAATAGGAGCACAAGGACAAATCCTAAAAAATCTAAAGATTGCTGGCTATTCACAGTTTGGCTGCCTGCATCCGCTATTAGTGAGGACCCCAGTCTCAACTGCAATGCTAAGAACCACGACCCGAAGCTTTACCCTTACACATTCCGATATGAACAGCCGAAAAACGAAAAATTCAGCAAAGCTGAATGTTAGTGATTTCCGCCTCGGTTGAGGCTGAATATTCGTACTTTTGCGGACAATTGAATTTTGAATCTTTTATTTCAACAAGTCAAAGGCGGGTGCTGTAGGATATGTAAGTGTTGGCGAGAAGGTTTGGTACCGAACGACTGATAAGATGGGACGTTGCACGAGGAATTCGTCGAAAACTGCTGGCCATCCAGCCTGTAAAACGATTCGATCAAATTCGACATATTCTCGTAAATTTATTATTGCTAGAGGTGATTTCTTTTTTCTATTTTTCTTTACAAGTGAAAATGCTATTTGCCATCGCTAACTACCAATTATCAGTTAACCAGGTTTCTATGAGAAGGAACATTGCTCTTTCCAGCAAAATTTTTTTATTCAAAACGGTTGGTTTTACCTAAATTATTTTCTTAGGGAGTACATTACATGCTAAAAAAATTTATCGAATTCGACATCCTCGCTTAACAACGCCATTCTGGTACTCGATTAACGCGGAACGTGTTGAAGAAGTTTTGCGAATTGCTGATCCCTACCGGTTTTTTTTTCTTTGGGAAATTCAGTATTTTTTTGTTAAGAAAATGGTACTTCATTTTCATTTTTCTTGAAATCTAATTCTAATAAATATTTGCTTCTGTGGAATTTAACAATATTCTATTTATGAAGGTCATTTTTCTACGGTGATTCGGTTGTCGCAGATGGATCATTGATTATGTTCGTTGCTATAAATCCTGTGTTCCTCGCTATCCCATATATTATCAGAAATGCTCATGTATGCATTCTAATTATTATTTTTAAAAAAAGTTGTTAAATCATCTTAATCTTGACTTTTTTATATCAGGAAAAGAGTATGATAATAAAGGTATGGACTCGTGCGGCATTCGTGGTGTCTTCGCACCCGTCAAACTATAAAATCGTGGCACTTAAAAAATGGTCGATGGAAATAGAACATTGAGGCTGGAGCTGCTAATAAAAGAACAGATTAGATTTGAAGGAGTTAAAATGATTATGATGAAAGGAGTGGGAATGAAAGATAGAAGAAGGTACCAAGTATCGCAAAAACAGTGTAAGGTGAAATGTTTAGGGAATGTAATGATGTTAGAAAGTTTCAAGTGGGTTTCTATTTCGTATGATGTTTGCATATAAATGAATAAATATGATTAATCATCTATCGTTCATTATTTTATAAATGAAATATTTTAAAATTAAGTTAAAGGATTGTTTTCTGCCTCTGGACGACATACTTCATGATGAACATTTTCCAGCTATTAATAAGTTGGCTTCAATAATTACTCTGAAGAATTCTGTTAGGGCAGTATGCGATACAAAAGGTATTATTATAAATCCTTTTTAAGATTAACGATTAACGGTTCAATTTGCTTTTTTACTGTATATATCAAACTTATGGTCTAAATGGCATTTATTGTTTTATTTATTGTTTTGTTTGTTTATTGTTTTCCTTTATATTTTCATTCTTTTTTTCATTTCTTGAAATAATTAATCGCATAGAATAGGATCGCATAGAAATTAATAGAAATAATTAAATATTCCTTACGATAGGAGTTGTCCAGCTGAATGACTGATGATGTTTTTAGAAATTCTGGGTTTGGAAATGTTCCGCTATAATAATAATTTGTTAATGAATTGGTTAGAGGGAAGATTTGAACGCTTAAAAATTTCAGTATATCGTCACAATGCAGTGAGCAGTGGTTTTTCTGAAGGTATTTCAGATTTCTCTTAATTTACAATTTTATTTCTTGCAGTTTTTGTCGATTTAATATTCATTTTATTTACGAAACAAAATTAACCTAAAATATTTACAAGTACTAAGAAAAATATGGATACTGCAAATACTGTTTCGATTTTAGATACGCTGCGAAATTATGCTTTCTCTGTTTTATGTAATTTCTTACCTCAGTTTATCGTTGCTAATCTAAAAGTACATCTCAAAATACCCAACGTGGAATCCATAGAAGAATCTAGTGCTTCTCGTTCTTGCAAGCGAAAACTTGATGAAAATGCTGATAACGATGATTGCATTAATAAGAAAATGACTATAGTAAGTAGCGTTTTTTTTCGAATTTTGTTTATTTTCGTATCCTTTTTTATTTAATTTCGTTATATTAGATGTTTTGCATTATTTCAGAGCAAAGAAATCATTGCCCAGCAGAAACGTCTACAAATCGCCAGTAAAGGCACAAAATCATTGACAGTGTTTCTCAAATCGAAATAATATTTTATAATCGTTTAAAGCTCATTGATGTTTACTATTGAAGTGTTTCTATTAGCAATTTTAGTTCACAAATATAGAGAGAAAGAATCCTTCATGCATTTGTTTTAATTTAATGAAAAGAAAGAATTTATAACGGTTTTAAAGATAAGGAGTAGTAGAATGGCTCAGTAGTTTGTTCCTCAATTCCGAACTCCGATACTAAAGTTAAGTTCTACTGTCCAAAAGTAAACCTGTCCAAAAATCCAGGTGATGCTGGTGATTCACCTGTATTTCTATCGCTAAGGGACAGTAGAACTAGTATATTTATATAGTGCGACAAGCCAGCGGAGAGACTCTAACCAGTAATAGTGAGGGTTCTTTAACAAAAAAGATAAGGAAAGCATCAAGAGCTATTTTGTTGAAAGGGATAGCCTTTTCATTTTTTGCTGCAAGTTTGCATTTCCATTAGTATTTTTTGTGAATTATATCACGTTAAAATAAATTTTGAATTTTAATATTGAATAATTCATTGAGGCTGGTACTCAGATATACGTGTATTTATATTTATTGGTATTTATTGATTTCATTTTTTCTCTTGTGAATTTCTGATGTGCATAATTTTACCTCAGATGTTGAGCATACGATTCGGTAATAATTTACCAATTAAACAAATGGCTTCACGTATCGATCACTTCAATCGAGGAAAATCACAACCAACTCCATATGGAAAGCGAATGGATCGTTTATCTAATCGAATATTTAATGAAGTTACTCGAATTACGGACAGTAAAAATATGCGAGTTGTACGATTAATGAGTGAGCAACCTGAGTACGAAAAAGAAGAAAAAACAGTTTGTTTTCTTTCTTGGTGAATTATAATAAATTGGAAGAGTACATTATTAGGATGAATTGTATATAACTCTTTCGTTCATCTTGATCAGTTTTCAATAAATAAACTTATATTTTCAGGTGAAATATTTTCCTCCTTTGCCTATGTTCCACTATTTATCTAAGTTGCTCTGTATTCACGGTCTTTTCTTTGATGATCATGTCTTTTTCAGGCAGCTGCAGGTTTATCTTTATTTTACTTTGCGTATCAACATTTTTTGACACGATTGACCGAGTTTTTAAAATATTTAGCATGAATCTGCTATGAAATTTTTATGCATTTGTTCCATTCGTATTCTTTTTCAGAATCAGCTTAAAATATTGCGCGGAAAAGTTATTCATCCACCCATTGGTGAAGGAAAACGTGCGCAAATGCGTTCAAAAAAGTAGTCATTATTTTAAATTATTTACTTGATATCTAATTTTGATTCTGTATCAGTTTTTCATATTTGGAATTATTCATTCGCTTGCTTTGGGCATATTTTGATCATTTTTTGCTTGATGACTTTGCAACATATATATTTGCAACATATGATGATGACTTTGCAACATATATATTTGCATTTATTAGCACTGAAATATTCATGTTTTATATGCATTGAAACATCAATTTATTAAAATTAGAAAATAAGGTAAAAATTATAAAAAATCAAAAATGAACGTTGGTTGTGCTTTTCTTTATATAATTATACATTTTTAAGCCGACTAATTTGTGTAAAATATCAAATTAAGTGTTTATGAAATAAATTATGCCTTTTTTACCATTCTTATTATGCACTTAGAGTGTATTATCTTCTAAATTATCTTCAATATTTTTAACTCTTAATTTCACTTTTAAATATCTCTTAACTCTTAATTTAACTCTTAATTTCACTTTTAATTATCAGTTGTAGTTTTTCTTGAAGTTTGTTTAATTTAATTTTTTCTTTTTGGTGAACTGGAATATTACTTACGGCAATAAGTTGACAGTTGTTTTATTTGATTTCCGTTTGGTTTTGGTTTCCAAAGGTTTTTTACGCAGCTTGCCTCAATATTACGAAAATAATTGGCAGATTGATCAGAATTTCTGGAATTAACTGTTACTATTGCGAAAATGGCCAAAAGGAAGTTGGCTACGACGATGGATAATCGGCTAAATTCAAAGAAAGGTTCAATTTCATTTTTTGGATGAATAAACAATGCAGTTCTTTTTTCTGTCATCGTTTCTGTTTAGGCTACTTTAAGTCACCAAAATCTTACCAGGGAACTTGCTGATATAATTGTAAAAGTACAAACGTATTAAGCCATTCACTATAACATAATTTTATATTTTTATATAAATTATGTCAATTAGGTTGTGGAATATTTAGTTTTTTATTTAGAATAAAACAGCAATTATCACCGGCTGATTACTATTATTAGTTATTAATTATAATTTGGCTAATTATTAACTAGCAAAAATATACACAATAAAAGAACAATATTAATAAAAAAAAAGTTAATGGTATTATTAAATTTTTAAATTTTTTGCTCATCTTTTTATCGATGAATTTAGAATTAAATGAGTTCCTTTTTTACCTAAAATTCACTTTTTTATTTTTTTTTACGAGGTATGCAGCCAGAGAAAGTGATGTTAGCAATGGTAATAATGGAGTAGTTTCTAAGGCAAATTGTGAATGGAAGGAAATTGGCCAGGATCTATTCATTTTTCCATCACATAACGTCGAAAGTCGTACAAAAATCGCTGGTTTCGATGTTGGTGAGTGTTTTTGGTTTAAAATTATTTAAAATTATTTAAATTATTTAATTTAAGATTATTAATTATTATTTTAAGGTATATATTTATATGCAGTTCTATTTTGTGGTTTTTGCATGTTTCGTATTTGCGCTCAAAAACTATAAAGTAACTCATGTTTTAAATCGCGTCATTCAGATTTATGACAAATATGAAATCTACATTGACATGCAGAAATTTTATTGACAGTGTTTAAATTTAGATGGAACTATTATAACTACTCGCTCTGGTAAGATATTTCCAACAGATGAGAATGACTGGCGGTTAAATTATCCAGTGGTCGTTGAGAAATTGAAACTTTTATATGATAATGGTTATAAGATAATTTTTTTCACAAACCAGAAAGGAATTCAAGTAATATTGATTATAATATTAATATAATAATATTAACTCAAGTAATATTGATTATTTAGTTAAATTCATTGTTTACATGTGTTGATGATGAGATAATTCTTGTGATAAGCTGATATCTATAGGAATACGTTACTTTACTCCTTAATCATTTATTTATTTTCAACACAGCTTGAATTAATATGGAATAAAAATTTGATGTTATGCAATATTCTCATTTTATAGACAGGACAGCAATGTCCAGAAGCATTCAAGAGAAAAATTGAATCAATTTGCTGTAAATTTCCATTCGCTATTCAGGTATTTTTTCATTATTTTTTCATTGAATTTTTTTATTTTTTTATAGATAGGAGGGCAATGTCTAGAAGTTTTCATTTGCAATTTAAGCTTTCATTTTTTTCTTTATTTTTTGCACTTTTTGCCCTTTTTATTGTTAAAATATTGATATTTTTCAATGCCTGCAAGTTTGCAGGTTTTTGTTTCCTTGGGCTCGTTAAAATATCGTAAACCATATACTGGTATGTGGGAATATCTCGAGCATTTCGAGAATGGTAATGTAAATGTTGATCGATCATTATCTCTGTTTGTTGGCGATGCAGCAGGTCGTATCGTTACTAAGGTCTTCTTTTCAGTTTCATATTTTGCCCTATTCGCTTTATATTTGATTGCTGTAATATCGAATATTTCCAGGTTCGAAAGAAAAAAGATCATTCCGCGGCAGATCGACTTTTTGCTTTAAATGTGGGAATAACTTTCAAAACACCTGAACAGTTCTTTCTGGAGCAGAATGTTGAAGAACCATATATACTTCCTGTTTTCAATCCTATTTCATTTCTTGCAGTCAGTCGCACTATTTTTGAACCAGGTTATATATTGCACTATTCCATTTTTCAATTTTTATTTTTGGTTTTAAATTTATTTGAATAAAAAATTATGGATGGATCATCTTTCCATTGTTTTGCAGCAGATACTCTTGTGCCAAGTCTTAATCAGGAAATCATTATACTTGTTGGGGTTCCTGGCTGTGGAAAAAGTCATTTTGCCAGAAATATGTCTGAAAAATTTGGTTACGCTGTTGTGAATCGAGATTCTTTAAAGACTTGGCAAAAATGTGTGGATACTACAAAGATTTTATTACGCACAGGCAAAAGTGTCATAATTGACAACACTAATGCAGATGTTGAATCCAGGTAAGCATGTTTTTATTTTCATACATTCTATCTTCATTTTTTTATTGCAGTGATTTTTCATCATCCATTTAGAAAACGATTTTGCGATTTGGCTATGTTATACAAGATTGACTGTCGTTGTTTTGTTTTTAACTGCGACATTAATCAAGCCCGTCACAATTGTAAATATCGAATTATTACTGGAACTGATAAATTGCATGAGGAGATTGGAATCATGGTTTTGCGCATATTTTACTCCAAATATAAGGTTAAATACAATATAAATATAATATAATATAAATATAAATGGAACTTATATTTATGTATCTTTCTTACTGTTCTATAAATGATAAGGATCACCCTCAATCTAGGGTCTTCTGTCAGAGGCCTGGGAGGTTGAGAGTTTTTAGCTGTTCCTAGCAATGTGCTCTTTTCTACTCTATGATGTTGTTCTTGGGATCTGCTGAAGCTGCTTTTCTAGTTTAGGAATCGCAGTTCCAGTTGTTCCAATTATCACTGGAATTACTTTGGTCTTTACTTTTCATATCTCCAGTTCCTTTTTCAGTCCTTGGTTGATTTCTCGTATTTCTTCTTTTTGAGGATGCTTGATAGTATTACTGTTACTCAATCACTAGTGCTGATTTTTATTCTTGTCTGTTATCACCATACCCGTTTGAATGTGGGAAATCCCACAGGATCTTCGCTTTATTATTCTCTTTTTAAATATATATAAATATTGTTTATAAATCTTGCATATTGCGAGAATCGAGCACCAAACTAGATATATTGAAAGGAAAATGAAAGTCCAAAAAATTTGTTCCTTACCTCATTAAAACTTGTTCCAGGAACCAGTGTATGATGAAGGCTTTTCCTTGATTGTTCATGTGAATTTTGTGCCGGAGTTTGAAAGTGCTGAACATGAAAAAATATATCGAATGTATTTATGTGATAGCTAAGTGATGACTATAGGTATAATTTTCTTTCTTATTCATCACTGAAAGATTCAATATTAAACTATTCGAACTATTCGACAAGTGTAAAACTATTCGAAATTCCAAATTTTCATCATAACAGATTTGTTAGAATGCTTTTTAAATTCAGTGAATGCTGGTTATGAAAAGATAGAAAAATGGTGCTGACTCGTTTAATTATATTTTTATTGTACGATTTGTTTTATCTAATCCGTGATTTATATTTACCCGAGGAAACAGAAAGACACAATAACAATAAAAAACAAATTAATTTTGGAAAATTCGAGAATTTTTTAATTTTTTTTAAATTCTTCGTTTTTATCAGATAGGGTATAAAATTTTCAATATCGAATGTAGTATCTGTTCCGACGATTTTGATCATTTCTGATCATTTTCATTCGAGCTATGTATCAAAGTCGATGAATAATGATGAGTTGTCATTTTTATGTATGGGTTTATTTAAAAAACTGAGCTTACAGTGATTAATCAAACTGTGTTGACGAATTGAAGATTCATTATCGTAAACAAATGGCACAATAAATCGTAAATTATTTTGAATAACAGCAAGAAAAATTTTAAAACATTAAATATCGCAATTAACTTCACAATATTTTACTTCGAAGCATTTTTGAGATTTTATTCCAAATTTTTTTCCATATTGTGCTTATTGTGTAATTATTGTTGGATTGTAACCATTTCCGCCGATGAATCTGTTTTAATCAAATTTAATTTTCCGTGCAATGTGGTTCTTCAAATCTTTTAAAAGAGTTGGCGGAGATTGTTTTTTTCATTCATTTAAAAGTTTAAGAATTGAGTTATCTTTTATTTCTATCCATCCATATGAAATATTCTCAAGAGAAAGGAAAAAAGTTGCAAATAAAAGCGATTTCATTCAATGTAGAAATTGAATAGAAATTGAGTAAAAATTGTTAAAACTTTTTATTCTTAAAGGAATGGTAAATTTTTATTTGTTAATTTATTTAACTTTAATTAATAAAAAGGATTTTTGGGATTTCTGCATACATAAAAAGTGAAAAATAGGTTTGAATATTTTAAAAGAAAATCGTTTTGTATACCATCGGGAAAGAGGAGGTTTGTAAATTAAATCATTCTCCTTTCTTAGCGGACTCACCATTTCTAGCAGATTTCAGACGCTATAAGGATGAAAACCTGTCACGAGAGAATCGCTTGAAGGTACAGTGGCTCTGGGGCATCATCTAGTTTCGTCTATTAAATTTTTTCTTACCTAACTTGTCCTCTAAATCGAAGCAGGTTGGATCCATGAATCCTCGATCATTTTACAACAAGCAACTTAGATGAAATCGAGTAAGTTGTGGTAGCTGTTGGAAGAAATATATTTGTTAAATTTTAAATAAAACTGTTCCAATATGTCGGAGAGGGGTTTTTCAAAATCAATGAACATCGTTTTCACCAAGATTGATGCAGGAAATGGTTGACATATAACTAACCCAATAGAGCTGATTTGGTCGACATTCGGCATCAAATGAACAAATCGCTAGAAGACAAAGCCATTCCATTCGCTATTGCTGGAAACTTTTGGACAATTATTATTAGTTTTTTTGCACAAATTTTTATTTATAATTTGTTTTCGATGATAGAAACAATAATAATTTCGCAATGATTTATTTGTTTATTATATGTTGTTGTAGTTTACAGCATTTATTAATTAATGAAAATATTTATAATAAAAGGAAGAAAATAAAGGTTATAACAACAATAATTAAAACCATAAAAAGTGCCAAATAGATTATTTTTAATCCATCATTTCATTTCATCCAGCAATTAATTTTGGAAATTCTAGAGCATTTACTAGAATTCTTGCAAATTCGCCTTCTTTAATTTACAGTAATCCTCACTGCTAACGATCAAAAAGAGAACCGAGAAGAAGAAGACGCGTGGATCTTTTAAAAACTTCCTTTCAATTTTTACCTAATACTCGCCTTTATATAAATAATGATTTTAGAATTTAAGGACTCCAATTTTTAAGAAGTGCCGCACAGTATTCTAATTTGCAATGTTTGCTTTATGTCCGATAATATTTTATCGTTTTTAAGGAATCTATTTGCAGTCCTTCAAACCGTTAATCCAAGAAAATGTTGTTGGTTGTGCAATTAGTCTGTCGATTCTTTCAAGGAAGATTTATCGGTCTCCAGGTTTTGAGTTTTTGAAAATTTCTTTGTCGAATTTAATTGGTCATTAATAATCTTATAATTCTTTTCTTTTTGTAACGTTCACATTTACGAATATATTTCTATTTTTTTCATTCGTGATTTTCAAATTTTTTAAATCGAGAAAATCGGTAAAAATTTCTGGAAATAATTGTTTGTGAAAAATCAGTGCTCAATTGGAGAAATAATCTCTAGAAGTAACTGTTTAGAAAATGGTCATCTTCGATTTATTTATGAATATACAAAAAAAGAAAGAAATTATTGCAAATTTTCAGCAAAAAAAACGCCTCATTATCCACCTATGTCTTTTATTAATAGTTTTTATATATTCATTTCTCGGTGGAATAATTTTTTATCGGTTGGAAGGCAATGCTCGAGTCAAAATCGACTATGAGAATTATAAAAGAACGAAATATTGCGTTGCTAAAGTAACTATTCATCCAGTTTTTTTTTGAAGAGTACTCACCTGTGTTGGTTATATTCACTCAGCTGGCTTGTCGTACTAGATAAATGCCGGAGAGTCGCTTGATAGAAATACATCACCCAAACTACTTCTGCCCGGAGTAGAACCTCAGCATCCGAGTTTGAGTTCCGAGTTCTGTAATAACCCACTGAATTATTCTAGTCTCTTTTGCTTTCTCTGTTAAGCTCCAGCCCGGCGAAATGATCTACAGAATTGGAATTTAAGGCTGGATTCTCAATAGCAATAAGAAAAGGATTTTATATATGTATATATATATATATATATATATATAATTTATTTCAGTTCTTTGTTTTAAACTTAAAACTTAATTGTTGTAAAAAATTTTTCATTTGCAGAAATAGCGTAAGAAAATAGCAAAGCGAAGTGCGGCCGCTCAAGAAAAAAGATTTTTTAAAATTTTTTTACTAATATTTTTATTGTAATTACTTTAAAGAATATCGCAATATTTAAATTATAAATGCCGTTAAATAGTATTGTGATTCTTTTATCGTTTTAAAAACAATAACTGTTTTATACTTATCTGAAAAAATTAGAAATTCCCTTTATTGAGATTAGAATGGATAAAATTCTGCAAATAATTGTTTGTGAAAAATCAAACGTTGGCTAATGAAAACCATTTAATCATCATATATGACCATGCAAAATGAAAATGAAAAAAAATATAAACCACCTATCATACCACAGTTTAGTTTTACTTTTCCTGCAGATATTAGCCCACTGGACTAGTTCGCGAAGTCACACAGTACGCTCCATCATGGATTGTTTGCACAGAGATACTGACGAATTGTCTCAGTGGAACTACATAACTGCAACACTGTTTGGGTTTGGTGTTGTTACTACGCTTGGTAAAATCTTATCTTACGTAAAAGAGCGTGCACTCACTTGCTTTGGGTATTTCCAAATCTTCAGTAGCATGATTTAAAATGCATGATTTACTATTTAAAGTGATATGTCTTAATCTAATGTTCAATTTATGTGAATTAACATTGCAGAAAAAGAGCTTTTCAGGATATAACAAAATTGGGCCTATAACTACAACGGGTCGAATTTTTTGCATATGCTATGGATTAATTGGTATACCTATAACGATGATAATTATTGCCAATATTGGTCAACATTTGAATCATTTAGTAAGAATATTGCGCCTTAAGGTACAAAATTTTTTGGAAACAGCCTTTAGCTAAAGCTTTCATTAGTCTAGTAATCAAATCAAATGGGTAAAAAAAGCCTTCGATTCTGTTTTTTTTAATTTAGCTTTTTTTTATCAATCATCATCCGATATATGATTGGCTGGATGATATCATGAAAAAATGATAATACGAAAGTGCTTTTAAATTTCAATGCACTAATTACTACTGAGGCAGTGATAAGCATGACATGACTTTTGGCAAATACCAAACTATAGAGGCAAATTTTTTTGAAACCATATGAATAAAAATTTTCTTGAATTAATGGTAATTAGAATGATTTTATAAATTTCATTTTCAATGTGTTGTCCAATTTGCTTACATCTTAAGCATATTATTTCATTGTTTAATTTAAAGCACTTATTTTCTTAGAAATTTTTTTCTTCATTTTCATAGTTTCTAATTTGAAATTTAAAAAAAAACACTATATTTTAGCCATAAAAAATATTTCGGCTACTTAAAATATTTACACTTTAAAATATTTAACTTCAAACAGAAAATAACATGAAATAAGACTTTATAAAATGAAGCAACGATTAAACATATGAGTAAAATAATTTCCTATTTTGTAAATTTAGTTTACTTTTTATCGTTTAATGACGAAAGAATTTAAGAGATAAACTTTAAGATAGAAAATTTCTGCAAAAAAACCACGAAGGTTGAAGACGATTTGGAAGCGTCAACTGAAATCGCCTCACTTGTTTTACTTGTCGTATTTTTGGTTTATGTGGCTTTAGGAGCACTTTTTCTTCCTTTACTTAATGGCGAGGTTATTTTTTTAGCGAATAAATTTATTAAACGGTTATATTTTCCTAGCATGAAACAACGAATTGACTCCATTGAGAACCTTTTCATCCATTCTTTTCCCTCAAATATTCCTCAGCTTGTATTACCGTCTTTTTGTGGTCTGACTTTTAAGTGCATAATCTGTAATCTAAAAACAAGGAAAAGTTCAATGCTGATTGCGAAATGTAATCCACTATTTTTATTCAAAATTTTGAATTTTTCTCATTTATCATTGTAAACCACAAAAAAAGTGATCGATTCTCCATTAAATTCTTAAAGAAATCTTGAGCAAACAAACATTCAGACATGGAAACTTTAATTTTCTTAAAACAACGTGGTTGCTTTAACATCGAAATTTTTGTCACCGCTCCTCACCATCTCACCGATTATTTGTAAATTAATTAAAAGTTTGTAAATAAAATCATTTTTCCTTAATTCTTCGTTATATTTCAGTATGATTTCTTGAATGGTCTTTATTACAATTTTTTATGCCTAACTGCTATTGATTTTGGCCAACTTGTACCTCGACGGTCGGTGATTAATTTTCAGTTATAAAAAAATAAATTTTTGGCAAAAAGTTGAATTTGTCAAAATTTTTACTTTTAAGGTCTAAAAATTACGCTTAAAAGTATTTTTATGATTTTATCTAACGATTAGTCATTAATCATTTTTAATTTGTATTTCTATGCGAAATCGCTTGCCTTTCGTTCATTTCAATTTTTTTCACAATTTAAATTAAATTCATTTCCGAGCAATTTATGCAATTTATGGAAATTTACCTCAATGTTTGTTTTAGAATGATTTTTTTACCGATTACATTCATTTATGTATGCATTGGGCTCGCTATCACGACAATCGCAATAGGTCGAGGACCTCGGTCTTTCCTCAATCTTTTAAACTAACATTTTAGCCAATTTCATTCTGAGGAACAAATTTTTTCTCCAAATTTTCTTCATTTTATTTCCAGAAGTTGGATCAGATTATCTCAAAAGGTTTCACAACTTGGGTCAGAAAATCAAAGATGTTGCAGCGACTAAAGTTTGGTTTGGTGGAAAACAGTTAGTGTAGAAATATCTGACTAAATATCGGAAATATTATCTAAAAAAAAAATGAATGAAATTTTAGTTGTTTCGAAAACTTACAAGTTGTCCAATAAACTTTACTTTCTATAAGAAATAAATTGAAGAGTCAAAGTGCGAGATCTTTTGCACATAGTGGGGGAGAAGTGTGGCGTTGAACCTGCGTTAATTGATGCTATTGATCTGGACAATGTCGTTACCCAAGCAATAGCAGTGCAGGTACCAACAATTTTATTACGATTTCATTTTTAGTATTTAGTTACTTCTAACAATAGTTTAGATCTTTCTATTTATAAATTATAATAAATATCAAGTGATATCGAATTTTCTCCCTTCTAGTTGAGCAAATCATCTATGAATTCGGCCAGCAAGTGGAACATGACCAATCTCCGCTTGTTGATGTAATATTAAAAAAACCACCGAGTCTGTCGTCTTCACCATCAGTTTCATCAAAGCAGCCATCTATTAATCCATCAACAATGCCACCCTTATCCCAAAACCAGTACAGTCGCATCTTTTGTCATCGACCTCATCGTTGCACAATACATCGTCGAAAGACGATATTATGGAACTGATTTCGAGTGAATCTCATCTGATCCAATCTATGTTATTTGAAAAACTATGCAACGAGGTATTTTTCAAATTTCCTGGAGGGCGATGATCTGAATCTGAATCTGAACTTCACAAATAATCTGAATAACGTGTTGACGCCATTTTGGAACTTTGGAACTGCAAATCGCTCAAATTTCCTTAAGTAAAAGCGATACCGGTTCCAAAGCTCTGCGTCTTATGAAAATATTTTAAAATTCTTAAGCTGAATGTTGAAGAAAAAGGGTTTGGCATATAAAAAGGAACAACAGACTTTGAGGATCTTAATCTGAAATATTGCATCTAATTACTCAACTTGTGTTAAACTGTTATATTTAAATGAATCCACAAAGTCATTTTGCATTAATCATGGATTTTAAGTTTTAAACTTTAATTTTTTGTTTTTTGCATATTTTTTAAAACTTCCGACAAAACATTTTGAAAACATCGTTCCAGATTTTCCATAATTTGAATTTTTTAAAATCAGAAGCTTGATTTAGAAGACAAGTTGTGCATCTGCAACAGCTTTTGACTTGATTTTCGGAAAATTCAAATCAACCAGAGGTGAACTCTTTAAAAATATTTATTTCGGGCAGTCGTCTTGTTTTCAAGTCTTGTTTTCTTCTTCTAATTCTCACTATTACTGGTTAAGCTTATTCTGCTGGTTACAAAAGACGTTTCCAATCTATACGATTCGATGCCATATGTTCAAAATCTTTCCTGACTGGAGCAGTCCTGTTCTTGAGTCTCTGGCTTTTGACGCCATTCATGATAAGATTTAGTAATGAAATACATATCAGCTCCTGTGATGACCGACGAAGGATGCGAACTCTGTGATGTTATTGTTTTGTAGGTGGTATTTGAGCGAAGGCTGCAGTCATATGAGATCTGCTCGGAGTAAAATGTATTTTAGATATGAGTGGTCAAAAGAAGATAATTTCCATAATATCTTGCATTCTCTTCGGCCATGTCTCGTAGCCATGTAGCAAGATCAAGCGAATTGCAGCTACTTGGACGTAGGCTTTCGTTTTTATGGTAATTTCGCAACGATCCCATAAAAGTTTTGTCAACTGAGAGGCATTTCTAGCTACCATTATTCGGATGTTCGTCTTTCGCTTGGCCATTTAAAGTGGATCTAAGATGTTTGAACTCTTGCATTTCTTCAACCAGCGTTGAGTTGATGAAAATAGGTATTTTATCAGCTTCTGGTATATACGACGAAAAAATTTCTTTTTTATTTATATTGATCCGACTTTCGCTGCATGTTATTAGCGTATTCAAGATCTGTGATGTTATGCTCTGGGTTGATTTATATACCCTCTTAAGTCCCCACAAGTGATGTTCGTTATCAATTTTATCGTGTAGTTCAATATTAGAGAAAGGAATACAGGCTTGATGACATCAGCTCTTATTTCGAAAGAATCTATCAGTTTCCCATAGACCAGTGCTAGTGCAAACTAGTAAAATACCTTCATGAGTTGAATGGTTTTCTCTGGAATACTTCATATTTCATCATTCAAAGTGCCGTTCTATCAATTGAATCGAAGGCATCTGGAAAATCGGTGAAATAAGTGACGATGTGCCAACTATCCTTCTTAACGTGAATACTCGGTCAGCATAACGCTGGCATGAATACTTGAGCCCATTTTGCTGTTCTGTACTGCCATAAGTTTATTTGATAAGAAAAAAGTATGCAAAAATTTTCTGATTTCTAGATAATTCATATTATTTTTTCTTGAGAAATGGGAGCAGAATTGCTTTGCTCCATCCATCTTTATTATTTTTTTCTTGCATTCGAGAGAGTAAATTTGTTGAGAATGTATTATGAAAGGCGATAGACAATGTTTGAAAATTTCACCCAAAGACCATCTTCTCCAGAAGTTTTATTGATCTTAAGCTGCTGGATGGTACAGATTATTTTATGTTCTGCTGGAGATTTGCATGGTTGTACGAGCGATTCGCCTATATTCGCAATTAGAGATGGCAGCATCGTGGTTATATCTGGGCTCAAAGAATTTCACTTTATAAAGCGATCCTTAATAATCTTAACAGGCACCATTACTATCCAGTATCATTTCATTGATTGTTTCTCGAATCGCTTTATGAAGAGAAATAATTTTCTGTTATTGCCTAATCGAGAACTCTCTATTTTCAAAGCCACATCGCTTTAATAATGATTTCTATCCCACCGTTCTGCTGTCGTTGTTTCTAATATAATATGTATGGCGTCACAGAAGGTTTCTCCTCCTTCGTGATTTTTAGAAAATAAGAGATAAGATAAGAAGGGATACTGGTCTAACATAGATAATTAGTAAACATTGTAAGATCATTTATAAAATTTTGTTGAGAAAAATCAGATTTATAAGGGCTGATGCTTCATCGTTTCAAGAAATTAAATGATGAAGATTTGCCAAATGAACCAGCTTTGGGCGATTTAGAAGCGAACGGGAATAAGCAGAATGATGAAAAAAACGATAAAAGCAGAAGAGCTGTTACGAACAGTGTTTGCCAAGGAAGTAAGCCAATTTTTAAATTGCTTGATAAATCTCTATAATTATTTGCAATAATGAAGATTTACTTAATCTAAATAATAAATCTTATTTATTCTATATAATCGCCTATAATTTTTAGAGCTTTTACTAGTTGGTGATTCGAGGGTAAATTTTTTTCAAAAGTCACTGCCGGTTAGACTCGCTTCGCTGGCTTATCGGACTTGGACAAATATGCTAGGGAGTCCCTTAGCGATAGAAATACAGATAGCCAGCATCACTAGGATTTTTGGTCACTCTTGCGAGAACTTCAGCATCAACGTTTGGAATTGAGCACGACCCACTGAGCCATTTTATTCTCCTTTATTTTCTCTATAAAATGATATCGCCGACCGATAAAGCGCAATGCATCGGCCTGATTCGAACTAAAATCTCCCATTATTGGTGGGAATTATCTTGTCACCGATGATCAGGTGATAAAAACTTTACTTTTTTTTTTTTAAATGACGAGCTGTTAATTAAAAAAGAATCACTATATCATATTTACAAAAAACACATTTTTTTTTCGCACCAATGTTATTTTAGCTTGCTCTCTTGATAAATAGGACTTTTAGACTTTCCAAAATAATGCCACGCTTGAAAGAATTTCACTCTTTTTCAACCGCTCAAGCCCATATACCATCTGCACATAAAAAATTAAATTAAATAAAACAAATGTAAAAAAAGTTACGTGCAAAAGTATTTCAAAGTGCCCTTGGTCAATTTTTTTAGAACAAATTAAACAGAAAAAATTAAACAAAAGCATTATCAAAAAATTTATAATAGTAGTGAAAAGTTCGTAATGGATATGATCAAAAGAGATTTTTTCAAAAATTTTTGAATAAATGGTTCCTTTTGTCTTCTTTTTCGGTTTTTGCTCGGTTGTATTGAATTTTTTAAAATCTCCATCAGTATTACTTATGTAGATAAATCGCAATCTTTATCGCAAATTTAATTCAAGTGCTGCATCATTTTACACCATTTTATTCTTAATCATATGGTAAATTCACATAAATTCACTGATTAACTTATTGAAAATATCAAGGGAAAATTAATTTTGCAATAAGAAATATATATGATAATTATTTCACATTTACTGTTATAAAATTCTTGACAAAATGGAAAATAGAAATTCAAATCGGTTTTAAGAAGCAATTCAAATTGTAATTCAATAAATGATTCAATGGATTTTTTGAAAATCTTTTTGAATTTTTAGTAAAAAAATTTTGGGTCGTAATTTATTTCCTTAAACAGTATAATTTACGGTGGCTTTATTTATTTATAATTCTTTTTTCCATCGATAAAAAATCATCCTTTTAAATCTGTCATCCGAATGGATAATGGTCCAGTACAGCATCTGAGAGAAAAAAGTGAACGGAATTTTGACTCCTTCAGCCAATAAGGAATTAATAATCATAAAAAAAATGCGAATAGTACTTTAGATCCATCAATTCCACGTGACTTCCTAGCAAAAATCTCTAATCATACTAATAGCCTATTTAAAATGGAGCCTAATTCCTTGCTTAAATTAGTCTTATTTTTGACAATCTAAAGAGATGAACCGAAATTCTTTTTCAGTTCCAAACAAGTTCACTGAAAAGCATCAATATTATATCTTGGATTCGGAAGGCCTACTTACAACATATAGAGAAGAATGGGATCGTATCGAGAAATTAGCTTCATCGAAAAAACGCTTTGATTCATATAACCATAGTGGGAAATTTTCAGGACGATCTTCTCGACAATCTTCAGTCTCTTACGGACCAGCACAAGAATTGCAATCGTTCCAAAGTCATAGAAGCCGATTTCCAAATATTAAACCTATTGCCCGTAGACCGCAATCGTTTCGAAATACTTCATCTATTTATGGATCTTCAAGCATGAATAGAGAAATCCATTCGCCAATGGGAAAAAAGAGTCAACAAGTTTGCGCCAAAAAAACCATATTCTTAAATTAGAGCTTATGCTGAAAAACTCTATTCTACTCATGATTTTTAATCGTTTATGCACTTTATTTTTTTGGTCCTCCAAAAAACTTAATTTTTGCCAGCATATTCGCTTTTGTCTCGTTTGTCGAATAATTTAAACCTTGAAATTTAAAAAAGAATTAAGAATTTAATCATTTAAAATTGTTTCTAATCCTCCTTACCCTTCTTCATCTTCCATCACTATCCTCAAATATCTTTTGTGTTCATCTTCATTAGTTATTATTGTTATTATTAGTTATTATATAAACGACAAGTTTTTGAGATTGAGATTTTACTGAAAATGTATAATTATTTCATTTGCATATGGATGCTTTTTTCGTCAAAAAAGTTCTTTGAGCGTTTTTATATTTATTTTATCTTTTAAATATGAGACTTCTAAAGATATTTTGTTGAAAAATTATTTGTAAATCTAGCAACTGAGATTGAATAATTGGTTCTGAATAAATTTTATAAAGATATTTTTGCATCGAATACGTTTTTTTCGCCAAAATCTTTGGAAAAAGACGACGGCAATCAAATGGATTATCATTGCTGAATGGAAGATAGCTTTTCCATTCTCTTAAAAAAAAATTTTCTTTCGACGATTTGTCAATCTCTTTTCATAAATCTCTCAATAACGATTTAAACTTTTTTTATTTTTTTAACATCTTCTTTAACAAATGCAGTTAGTTTCTGTATTTCCTCATCGATTTGATTTTTTTTATTTGTCTGAGTATGGTGGTGATTATGATGATAATCTTGATGATGACTATGTTGATAATGGTGACGATGATAGCAGGAATTTTTTTGTCGCCATTGCTAACAGTATCAATAATCAATAATAAATAATTAAACTATAATTATGATAAAAATATCAATAATTATTGTTAAAAATTAGTCCAATAATTATTTTTACGTAAGCTTGCTTTTACAAACTGAGAGAATAAATTCACATCAAAACCATGAGCATAAGCTTTTCCCTAAAGATTTTCCAGATGCATAATTTGTTCTCAGCAGAAACTTGTGAACACATTTGGCATTTTTATGAATTACATTGCGATATAATCGTGATAACAATATTTTTTAATCAGTAACACTGCAGATAATAAATAATAATGATAATGATAATGGTGAGTATGATGCAATAGTGAGTGCAATAATAATAATGATGATAAAACTGAATGACAAGTGATAAAAATTACCGTTGTATAGTGGAAAAGTACAGTGGAGAGAAGTGGAAAGAAATAATAAATACTTTGATAAATAAAAGAAAATGAAAAAGTTTTAAAGAAAACAAATAAAATTTGAAAATATGATTATTGGAATTTAATATGTTGCAGTAAATTTCTTGTGAGCCATGAAAAATTTGCAAAATTCTTTTGGGAATTAAGAATTCTTCTTTTCAAAATTTCTAGCAAGAAAATTGTCTTTTCAATTCTTTTCTCGTCCACATGACGTCAATAGAATTTATTATTCTCGAAAAAATGAAGTGTAGCAATTGCTATAATCTTGTAAATTTGGTAATATTTAAATTGATGAAATTCTTTGCCAAATTCGCATCTCTATTATGATCAATTATATGATTAATTATGGTGGAAAACTCGAAGACGAAAAGTTTATCGATATATCACTAAACGATAGTCACGGTAATCAAAAACTATTTTCTCTATTTTACTCACTATTTTTGATTTGCTTGGTTTCATTGGCTATTAATAAAATATCATAAAAGAATCATTCAATGGAAATACAACTAGATTTTTCCTAGAACCAGCTGAATTTTTTAATGGCAAGTTAACATTATGCAAAACCACATTAATGATAATGGAATAATGAATAATGCACATTGAACCTTGTTGTTCCTGCAAGATTGAGAAAATTGGCTTAGTGCTGTGAAAATTCCCAAGAGCAATGCAAAGTTTTGCCTAAGTTATGGTCATAAGAAAATATTTGAAAGCAAAAAGGAAAAAGGAGTTCTCATTAGACGCGTATAGAATTTCGAGTATTGGATTGAAAGGAAGTGCTAAGGAAACATTTTTCCTCTGCCAGTATCTTCCCATTATTTTCAAATAAAATGGATAATGATTGTGTTGAACATAATCTTTTTTTTCATTCAATATTTATTTACAATGATGTTTTTTTTTAATTCTTTCATGTTTTCTTACGTAATTCCGCAAGTATTTTGTAATTTAATTTCGCTATTTTAAAAAGTTGAAAAAAGAAAATTTTATTTGTTAAAGTCTTACCAAAATTCTCTTCAATAAAGTTTAAGATTCGGTACATAATAAATATTGGAAGTATGATGGAAAATCCATTTCTGCTCATGGCTGAGTTAAAATTTTAATACCACAAAAATGATCATCCATAATTTTTGACAAAATTATTTTTGAGTTTAACAAAATTAATTTTCGCTTTTTACAACAAAGTTAAAGTTACTTTTTTATTAGATTTTCCTGAAACTAAGCAATGAAAAATATTGTCGAAATGTAACAAATTTTAGGATAATTTTGCATGATGTATTAGAATTTCCTTAATAGGATCAATGGTTTGAATGACTCAAATAATTTAGCAGCAAATGAGTATATTTAGAATCAAATTTGCTCAATGAATAAATTATATATAAATTTCGTGAAATTAACGAATTTTAAAATTTTAAAATTTTACTTAATAAATTATTGTTGATTCGTTGGCAAATCTTGTTATTTACATTGTAAGCTTTATTATTATTAATGAGAAGAAATTTCTGACTTACGATTTTAGATAAAATAGCTTCGTTTATTATTATTTCGATAAATTGGCTAATAATTTCAGATAATATTTGATACGCCAAAATGGCTTTATATATTCATTACAAGTTAAAGTTTTAAATCTTAATGGTTTTAAATAAAGAAAGAAGTGATTTAAGAAGTGATTGAGATGTTTTTGCGAGATTCAAAAAATAATTTAGGATAAATACATACATTAGTTATTTAATTTTATGGCTTAATTTATGAGATTCTTTGTTTCAAAGAAAAAGCACAAAAACTTAGAAGGGTTTTGGAATTTTATATGAAAATTGTATATTGTTATAAGTCAATGCCTCGATGCCCTTACAACCAATATGGGACTCACTTTATTATGTATTTTCTAAAAGAATTCCAACCCAGAAGCAGATAATTCAATTTTTCCGCTGCTGAATTCATCATACTCCGTTCAAAGCGTAAAGACCGAATCATGATGCATGCAGTTATGACTCAATGCACGGCTCATTAAATCTGATCGCAAAACATTGGCCAAATAGAATTTTCTCTTAATTTTAATACTAAAAAACTATTTATCAAGCATATTAAATAAATTGGACAACAGTTTTTCATCTTTTAGAAGTCAGCAATATCCGCATAAAATTTGGACTTCAGGTGAAAGAAGCTTTGTCGCTTCAGTTCAGTTCACGACTTGTATTTATTAATTTTGCTGTTTATGCATATTATCATTTGGTTGAGATTCGCGTAAGCAGAAAGTTATTTATTCAACAAACAATATCACATCCAGTGACAAGTTGTTTAGAAAATGTCACAAGAGAACAGAATAAAATAAAGTTTTGTGAATGTGCGAATTTAATTCATAGAATTTATTTTCTTGGACGGAGGGTAAGTTAGAATCTTTTGAATCGATGCTAGGACTATGATAACAGAGTGAAAAACAGAAGAAAAGAGAGCATTTGCTCATCAGATTTCCTATTGAATTAAACGTTTAGGCTTGTGGATAACTGCTTTCTTAATTATACGATCTCTTATTCGAATCTCTTGCCCCTCTTGACTTTTCGTATATATATTTCGTATATATACATGTATATTTTAATGCATTACATATAAGTTATGCCAAATATATTTTTTTACTATATATGTTTTATATTTTAGCTAATTTTTTTGGCTTTTTTCATATTATGGTCTTCCATATTTCAAATTGCTTTAGACTCGATATTTTTTTTGGTTTGTTTTTTTTATTTACTGAGATGGAAGGTGATGAGATCTGAAAGAATTTTCAGATTTCGAAGTGTCCTTATGCTTCAGCACTGCCGAAGTTAAAAGATATTTCAATGGCTGCCGTTCATCTGTATTAAAAAAGTCAAAAATTTTGAAATTAAGAACAACTTATCTAAATCTAAACAACTGCCAAGTTATGATTGTGCCTGGCCATCGTATCAATCTTATTAGCCGGATTATATACACCATATGAGTGAATTTCTCCGCTCGCACTAAACTTTTTAAACTTTCTTTCCAATCTTGCTGCCGATTCGTATTATAACATGATTGATTTATTTCTCGTTACGCTCTGGATCTCGTTTAAATATTCTATCGACATATAAAAAATAAATTAAAGTTTATTTTCTTTGGTGAATCTTAAATAAATGAAAGTTTATTCGTGTAAAAGTAACAAAATCAGCTGGTCAGTCGATTAACCGAATTATTTCAATCTCCAATATGACTTATATATATTTATGACAGTCGATGAGCTATGCAAGCTTGTTTTACAACTTATGAAGCCATATTTATTTTCATACTAATTATCAAAAAACAGAATTGCTCAATTCGGAGGACTCATCCAATTGAATTAACGATTGATTCTGGTTCGATTCGTGGCGAATATTTGGTATAGCATAAACTATCAGTCTTTTTATAATCCTTTCGTTTAGTGGGTAACCATTAAAGCCAATTAGCCTCGAAGAAATTAAAATATTTATATATGGCTAATTTGCCACCCTTTTTTCCAAGATATCCTTTTGATAAAATCATTTTATTGTCAAGCATGAAAAAAAGATTAGCAAATTACGATCGGTCTTCTATCGATCCTCAACATTCATCATTTCTGATTTATTTAATTATGAAATATTGCACGAATTTCATTTCTAATGGTTTAATTGGTATTGATGGAGTGAGCTCAGTTGAAACAAAATACCACTTGGCTATCCTAATCCATTATTGTCTTTTTTTAAAAAGAAAACTTGATAAATACATTTCTATTATTTTATTTAATATAATTAACGGATCTTACTTATTGATTTTATCAAGCTCTTGGAAAGAAGGAATTTCGTGCCCAAATACTTATAAATCATTTAAGAAAGTCTTCCTGGAAGCACTTAGCAATTCGGATATGATGAGAAGATAATTTTAATGTGGTTCTAATCGTAATTTTCTCCAATAAACTCCAATGGTATTTACAACAATAATTATAGACTATTGGTGCAAACGACTTTGCAGTTTTTAAAGGCATACCTTATGCAGCACCACCAGTCGGCTCTCTTCGTTTTCAAGTATTTTTTTCAAATCTCTAGCACTTCCAAATAAAATCTTAATTTGCCTTCTTTTTCATTAATTTACAGCTTTTTTGAGGAATGTTTATTTGCTGGAAAAGTTTAGCTAAAAAAGTTTCAGATTCCAGAATCACCAGCGAAATGGAGAGGTGTAATGAATGCAACACAATATTCAGCAATGTGCGCTCAAAATCCGAGAACACGCAACACGGATCCAGCTAATCTTTATCGTATACATATATCGGAGGATTGCCTCTACCTCAATGTCTTTGCTCCACCACAAGTTATTTTCCATTCTCATCACATAGTTTCATTCACTCCAATCTTGAATTATTACTTTTTTTATTCGAAATAAATTCATGAATTTATGGATTTTAGCAATTGCATTTATAGCACTCATAAATGAAGTCAAATGAATGCAAATATTAAACTAGAAAAAGAAATATATTCGATAAAATATTCGATTTGATCAATTTATATGGCTACATTACTACAGTCATAAACTAATAATAAAGTTCACATTATAGTTCACTAATGACACATATCCGGTGATAGTTTGGATCCATGGAGGAGACTTTCAATCGGGATCGAGCTCTGATTATCCACAAGAGGCTATTCTTAATAATTTTGTTTCAAGAAAAGTTGTTTTCATATCGCTGAATTATAGGCTTGGTCCATTAGGTAGGCTTATCGAAGAATTTTTATTTCTTTAATTTTTAAATTCGTTCAATTAATAATAATTAGTAGAAATAAATTAAGTAAATGGACACTGGTTACCCTATCAGATTACCGTGATTGGAGGCTAGAATTCGGAGAGTTCTTAGTCCTGATAACAATAAGAACTAATAAATCAATAAAAAAATTAGTGGCTGTGCGGACTCATCTTCTGCCATAATCGTCTTGACTCCCTAGCAAAAATTTCTTGCCATGATAGCCAAATTCGTTCAATTAATAAGAAATAATTAGTAGAAATAAGTTACTAATAATTAATCTAACCAGAGATAATAAGTTCTAATCGCCTTTTTAATAAGAAATATTTACAGGTTTTATTTCAACTGGCGACAGCATTATTCCAGGCAATAATGGATTATGGGACCAAATCTTGGCTCTCAAGTGGGTTAAGGTATAATTCATTTACCTTTATTTATAGTTCTAACAAAGTAACAATTAAAACATTAATTTTAAATCATTAATTTTGAACATCGCTTTAGGCTTCTCAATTAAAAATTAAAATTGAATTGAAAGTGAAATTTAAATGAATGAGAAAAAAAGATATTTTTGGAAAATTTTATCAGAACAATTCATACGATTTATAAGATCAAAATAATAAAGATTTCTTCTTAGCATTAAAAAAAATAATAGATTAACGCGCATGTTTTTGGTGGCGATCCAGAAAATATTCTTTTAATGGGCCATGGAAGTGGAGCTTCATGTGCTTCATTGCTCGCTCTTTCACCACGAGCTGAAGGTTGCTCATTTTTCCTCATGTAAAACTAACTTTTATTAAAATCGTATTATTGATTTGAATGGCTTTATTGAGATGGACTCTTTATCAGAGTTGATTGCGAGCGAGAATATAGGAAAAACAGCAACAGAATGTAGATAAAATAGCATTCGGATTCCTTTTAATGCTAGATTTACTTTTGCCAAAGAATAGAAAATGAACTGATTATAAGAATTAAAATATAAGACTTATAAGTATGCCTTTTTTTAGTGCCAAAAATTTGGAGAAATTGAATTTAAAATGATCCAAAATTTTATGATGCTAGTCGCATGAACCTAGATTATAAGAGATTCAATTTTCAATTGAAAGAAATAAAATATAATTTTCTCATAAAAGTTTTTTCAGGGCTTTTCCAAAAAGTCGCATTGTTAAGCGGTACAGCTCTATCCCCAGGGATTGTCCGTGACACTGCCATCAATGCAACTTGGGCACTTGATCGTAAGCTTCATTGTAGATCATTTAATTCAAGTGAACTACTCGACTGTTTCAGAAAACAGCTTAAAGATGAAATTCTTGACGCGAAGGTATATTCCTTACATTTATCATATAATTCATAAAAGTTTTCCTTCTCCTTTTTCCTCTATTTCCTACAACAACCTATCATAACCTGTCACATCGTATCACTTCGTTTGTTGAAAATCTCTCGAATTTTAATCAGACCAATCCATATGATTAGGATAATAAAAATTTCTATCCTAATGATCATAATCATAACGATATCCAATATCCATATTATAATGTGCTTCGTAAAAAACGTTTGCCAGAATAAGTGTTCATTTAGAATTTATTATTTTTCTAATATTATTTTTAGAAATATTGCAATATTAAGGAGATCAAATTGAATTATCCAATTTTATACATATATATATATATAAAATTTGAGTAAAAGTTTTTTAAATAAGTTTTCTTAAGAATATCTTTTTATTTAGAGGACATTTTATGACGATTATGAAGAATTCGTTCCAATCGTTGATGGAATTGGTGGTGTGCTCCCAGAATCACCTGAGATGCTTGCAACATACCGACGCAAAATGCCTTTAATGGTTGGAACGACTCGAGATGAAAGTTCATTAAAAATAGGTAATTGTTAATATCATATCTCCCTTTAGTTGACTTTGCTCCTTGTTCCTACTTAATGCTTGATTATTTTAGCTATTCTTAATGAGAAAAATGTGAATCTGAGCGCTTTAAATCGCGAAGTTGCTGAGCAATTGGCTGAAAATTTAACAGCTACATATTCCGGATTTACCAATCATTATTTAATTGGTGAGGCATGCAAACATGAATATATATGGTCGAAAATAGATCCTGCTATGGACTCATCCATACTTTATAATTCAGTTCTGGATGTAAGATAATTTTTCCAAATGTAAAACCAACTAATTTATATAAAAAATATTATCGTCATGTTATTACTTATCGTCATATTATTACTAAATTAGATAAATTATTTCTTATACAAGAACTATGAAATTTCGCTGATTCTTTTATCTTATACTGATATCTTATTCTTTTTTTATGAACAGATGTTTTCGCACTTTTGGTACGATGCTCCGGCTTCAAGATTAGCCACCTATTATGCTAAAGGTGGTGCTCCTGTGTACTTATATTCCTTTGATCACATAAGCGAGAATTTTGAATATGATCGTATGTGTTCAATTTTTGTTCAGATGGATTAAATTCATCCAAACAGATCAGCTGTGCGATAACGGATGCTCGGTTTACCTTTATCGGAAGCAAGAAATATCCGTTTTAATAACTTTAGCAGACTCGCATTTATTTTACTTCATTAATTTAAATGCTTTATTGAAAAGAATCTTAAAGGAAAATTTTCTAAGTATTTTAGGGATAAGGAAATAAATTAATAGTAGAAGTTCTATTCCTTCGTACTCTTTTTATATACTGCAAGGATATAACTCTTGTTTTATAAAGCTACACTTTATATTTATGCTTGTACATTCTGACTTTCGACTAAATGATGACTAAATGAGGATCATTTTAGATTTTAAAGGAAGTTTGATACACCGAATTTTATATAATGAGGGCAAGACAGCTAAGCTACATTTTGAAAAACCTTTATTAAATAGCTAAAGAACAAAATAACTCGAAATTTGTAATGTCTTAGATTGTAAATTATAAAAAAATTAAAAAATTTATACTCGAAATTTATGCAAGTAAGCGATGACTGATGCTGGCCATTTCTGATTAGAATCCTCCACTGGTTGTCAGACTGTGAGAATTTTTATCTCATAGGGTCACGTGGCAATGGAAGTACAAGCCACTCGAGTTTCTTAATGATAAGTTTATTCCTATAGGAGGCAAATCTACTCCTGACTCCTCGAACTCCTGATGCTCAAGACTATAATAATCTTAGCAACAACCCTTTAATTGTCTTACTTTTTACCCAGATAGCAGCATTATGATAGTCTGTTAATATAGAGCGTATAATACTTCAATATGAATTTTTTAGGTGCTTTCCATGGAAGTGATGAAATTTTTCTATTCGACATCGAGCCACGATTTTTAGTAAAGAGGCGTGATCGCAACTGGCAACTGGACAGAAGGCTAACAGAAATATTCGCTGATCTTATAATCAATTTTGCTAAATCAGGGTCAACATCATAAATTCTTTAGAAAAATTCTACTGAATGTCTCATTATAATTTCTTTTGAATGCAATCATAATTTCTGGCTTGGATGATCCCAGCCTATTAGAGTCAGACTTTTCCACTAGAGGATCTCCTAGAGATCGAGGTATAGTAAGGCGCCTTCAACACAAGGTATGGTTCTTCTACTGACGGGCTTTTATCGAGAGATAGAACTCATCATTCGACCATTGTATTAATTCACTGTGTATTTTTTGATACTCTCACTAGGTCAAAGTGATTTAACTTATGTAATCAAGTAAGATTTTTAAAACTTTTTAGAATTTATAGCTATTATTGTTTTTCTTAATTTCTTCAGTGACAGATATATTAGCAAAAGTAAATGAAATAATGGATTTGGGAGAAATTAGGTTCATTTTAATAATCAATAATGTAAAAGAAGTTATTGAAAGTTTTACTGGTTTTTCTAAAATAGGTTTTTTTCAAACTGACGAACTGATAAAATGACGAGATCTTATTAAAATAAACTTAAGGGAAAATTTATATAAAATTCAAGAAAATTTAGCGCTATCATCCATTATATGTTTACAATTTCGAATAATCGTTGAATTGCATTCCGTCCATCTTTAAATGTATCAACTCGTTTTTATTTTCAATATTAAAATCAACATTATTTAAAGCAAATAATACGTCAATGAAGTAGAAATATATGCAAAGGAAAAGAAAGTTGAAACATAAAAATGGTTTTTATCACCATTACCATTTACCAGTTAAGGAAAGTTGATATGATGTCATGATTATTTTAAAATTATTGCAATTATTATCAGTGAAGAGGATAAATGAAATTAACGAATTTTTTGAGTTCATAATTTCGTATAAGAAATGTGAATAAAATATTTTTCAGAAGACCGACGCCTGATTCATCAGAATTCGCATTCAACTGGACACATATGGATGCAAAAAGATTGAATTATCTATCCATAACTGATAGCCCACAAATGGACATTGGTTTCAGGTGGCAAGGCCATGTTTTCTGGAACTGGTATGCACGACATTTAGATTCAGTTGACGTTGGAAATCTTCATCGAATCGCACAACTTGATAAACAATTAGGCGATTATCAGGTAAAATATATTTTTCAATTTTCTTTTGTCGTAAAAATAAGTAAAACTTTGGTTGTTTTGATTTGCAAACATCTTCAAAGTTCTGATCCTAGTTTCGATAGGATTAAACTTGCTATGCAAAAAATTCAGATAATACTGGAGACTCACTTTATATCCTAAAATGATCCCTTAGCAAAAATTTTGCATTATGCTAACAACTAGTGGAGTAAGCATAAGGAAATATGTGAATAGTCCTTACATATCTGCTTAAATTTTCATTTATTCAGGTTTTTTTCATTTTTTGAATTCTTCCAATCATAAATTCTTTTATAACTATTCTTAATTTAATTATAATAATATTTTACAATTATTATACCTTGTTTACCAAACGAAAAATTATAACGATTTATTTTTCACCGAAATGCAAAACGAGCTTCTTTTCTTTTCACAAACGATTATTCTCTTGATGCTATCATTTGGACTACAGAATACTGGTTTGGTCCTCATTGTAAGAGTCTTTACGTGAATTAATTTATGATCATTTGCGGTGTTCGGGTTTTCTGTGCGCAGTTAAAAAAGCAGAACTATCCAAATTAATCATTATCATTGGTTCAAAAGTCAACCAACCGTCACTTATATTTATTAATAATAATGAATATAAATGCTGCTCTAATTTTTAGAATTTTCAGATAAACTAATTAAGGATCTCTAAGACTGAACAGTAAAATTAATTATGCATTTATAAAATCGCGCAAAATTTTATTAAAAGGTTAAATCATTAGCCAAAGATTTGATTTATTAAGTAAATTACAAACATCTCACCATCAGATTAAATTTTTTTTGGCATTCATTGGCTTTCTATTTCTTTTTTTATTTTTATTATTCAAAATATTTTTTAAAATTCTATCCTTCATCATTTTGGCTTTTTTCTTTGAAAAAAACGATTAATTTAAGAAGTTTCCTTATAGAATCTTTTATTACAACAATAACAAATTAGGTCGAAAATGTTTAATCGATGCGAAGAATTAGTATTTTTTTCTTTTGTCGCAAAAAATAAGTAAAACTTTGGTTGGTCCTTCAAAGAATCCTTTTGAGAAAAAACTTACAATAAATTTATGATAAAACATGTATAAACGGTAAATAAATAAATAATAGTTTTTCTTAAAAACCAAAAATGATCATATTGTTGAACTTGGTTAATAAGGACAGAATGATCAAGTGGTATCGACTATGGTCAAGTTATCATAGATTCGAATTCTGCCCATTCGCGCTCGTAAAACTGTCTTTAAATCTGAGATACGGACAGTGCTCAGGTACTTCTTCCTTTGGCGAAGTTTCGTCCTAATAGCCAGAGCCAAAAATGGCGAATGCTATTAGAATTTCCCTAAATAGGTACTTTACCTAAATAAAGTTCTTGGTTAGTTTTTTATCATAACTGAGATTCGCTTATTATATAGTTTTTCCTTCTTAGTCCTCTAAAAATATTAATTAATTAATAATTAATAGTAATTTCGATATCTGAAATTGAATAACATTGCAAAATACCAAGGAAAGAGTCAGAGATGGCGAAATTTATTGTCAAGTGACCGAAAATTTAGTTACATTTTATTTTAGCGATTTGTTAATAAATTAATTTGATCAGAGATTAGGAATTTAAATCTTGTGCTTACGACTTAAAGTTTTCGAAGATCAAGTGAACATTTTTTATTTCTGGATCAAGCATCGCTAAAAAGGAGAACCTTGTTAGAGCGAGCGTGCTGAAGGAATGAAGATTTACTTCTTATAAATTCAAATTGAATCATTGCACTTAATGCGAATTATATTTCCTGCATTCATCTAAATATCCTTTTTGAAAAGTTCATATTTATTGGACGTAATGTTGAAAATTTTCATTCAGAAATTCACTTTTAAAAATTAAAAAGTAGTATAGGAAAAAATTTCAGCTGGCAACATGGATGCTTCTCTTTTGCGCACTCTTCTTCTTCGCTATTCTTGTCGGTTTAGCATGTTACTGCACTCGAAAAGAATCTGATGAAGACGATTTGTGATTCGCAGAATTTCGACTGGTGGTGGCAATCTGGAGAAATATGAAATAAAATTGGTTCCCTTGGATATTTCCTTTCTTTTTCATTTTCTTGTAGGCCTTAAATTCTTGTTTTTGATGGATTTATCGTCCGCTGGTTTGTTTTTTCCATAAATTGGGCGAAATAATCATAAGCATCTTAAACCAGCCTAAATATCTGTATAAGTAATGAATGGATCTTTTCATATATTTCTATATCGGCTATTAAATTAATTTGATATCTCCAAAGTTAATTTCAGATAATTGGATAAAAAAGAAGAAACTAAAGTTGAAAAAAATATGGTATTCAAAAACAATCCCTATAAATGATCGAGATCCCACCTTAGCAAAAAAATCTACATAATACTGGATTTAAGAGGGATAATTGCTAAAATCATGGAAAAAATATACAAATACACCATTTTAAATTTCGAAAAAAAATAATGAAACATTGTAATTTTTAAAATATTTGTTAAAAGCAATATAGGCAATGGAAAATAACTTCACTAGTCGCTCCACTAGGTTTCATTTTTGGTTTTTTGTGATAAATTTCAGTAAGCACATCCATATTGTATTGCAATTTTATTTTTTAATAATTTCCATATTATTTTTGTTTATTGAAAATTTTAAAGTAGATCTGAAGATGAAGATAATCTAAAAGATCGTAAATACCATTTACATTTGGAATCGATTCGGGCAGATGAGCTAATCATTTTTAATAATTCGTATTAATAGTTTTTACTGTATTCATTAGGATCACATGGTAGAAATTTCAAAAACCAAATAAAATTTTGCAGTAAACCATTTGCTCTTGTTGTATGTATTTTCATAAACTCATAGATTCAATATAATATTATGCATAAATTTTCAAAAAATTGCTATCCTAAAATTTTAACTTCAGACAGAGAAAATCACCGTCTTTCCGGATTTTGCTCTATTTGTTTTGCCTATTTAATTCAATATTATGTATTTTTTCATTGTATTCTAACTCAGCTTTTGCATTGATTTTTTCTTCTATTTCCATAATTTTTTTGGTATAAAGAAATAAAGTCGAGCGAAAAACGGTGAATGTCAAGGTAGTACAGGGAGGCGATAGAAGAGGGAAATTTTCCCTCTATGCAATTTTGGCCTCCTCAAGCAGTATTGTAACTCCTTAACAGCATCCACCACCACATTAAAGAATTATTTTTTCATTCTTTTGAAGTTATTAAACTTTTTATTTTCTTTCTACACCACTTTTTAGTGTTTTATTCCATCGCTCGACATATCTTTGCACGATCTTTATTTAATCTATTTATTTATTTATTCCGCATTCATGCACCATTCATATAACTATGCATTTATCATTCACTGTGTCCTTTATTATAAAAACGCAATTTATCAATATCGAATCTCTGCCATGCGGTGGTGCTTTTTTTCAATATTATCTACATACATATATATAATTTCTTGATAATTTATTGTGTATACGCTTTGGATTTAAATTTTAAAAAAAAGGAAAAAATTTTATATAAATTTTATAAGTCTCTATAAATTTTATGCTTCCAGTTGATTTAATCTAGTCATATATAACGTATTGCAATATTCGACCAAAATGCGTTTCTTAATATAATTTCCTTAATATGATTTAAGTTCTAAATGCCATTTGAGAAAAATTGTTGCGAAGTAAAAGTAAAAGGTTAGCATTGAAGTAAACCTAAAAATCCAGATGGAGCTGCCGACCGAATCACAACTTTCTCAAGACTTAATTCCGATCTATATTTATTGCACAATTTAACAAAATTTCTGGAATCAGCAGCTGGTCATGTAAAATTATATTGTGGTTCGTTTTATATTATCATCTAACATTTGATCAACTGATGTTGTATATCGCTGGTTCGTCATTTAAAAACGAAGAAATTTGTTGATTTACAATGTTTTTGCTGGTTCTTTTGTTCATAAAAGACGAAAAAAATAAGCGACGACGTAAATTAATCAGTCTTAAATCAAATGATAACTCGAGATAAGAAATTGCTCAAAAAATGTTTTTTGTTTAAATACATTTATAAAGTAGACGAAAATGGCGACATTTGTGTCAATTTTAATTCGTTACTATCGTCACCAAGGCACCATCCAAAAATTCGTTACAAAAGTCTTTCAAGCAGTGTAAACAGCTTTTGATTTCGTTCTGAAATTGAACAATTAGGCTGAAGCAGTATCTCCTAGAAAAAAACCACTTTATTCCTTCCTATATGCCACTGCCAATTGAACAGAATGCACTTATGCGCTAGTTGTCCATAAGTAAATAAAAATTTTTACACTTTTTTATTTTACTATCACAAATTTTTTTATTTATTGTTTAAATTTTTATTTATCAAATATTATTTAGAGCAAACGAATTCTTAACTGTGATCTTGAAGAAATTTTATTAAATTCTCATTTTATTAAACGCTCTTTATAAATTTTCTTACTTTATTACTAATGAGTAAATGGGCAACATACATATTTAATAATTCATATCTCTTCACTTTTAATAAAATGTATTAATAAATTTATATAGTTAGAATAAATGACAAATTATCATGCACTGAAATCAAAAATTAGGTTATAAGTAAAAGTATTACTTCTGTATTTATTTCTTTCTCCACTCGCTGTTAGCAGCAAAAAATTTTTTCCCGATAATTATTTAGGATGGCTCAGTGGGTTGCTCAATTTGGAGGACCAATACTGAGATTCCATTCCCCGTAGGAGCAAATCTGTCGAAAAATCCGGGTAATGCTGGTGACATCACCTGTATTTCTATCGCCATGGGACTCCCTGGTATATTTGTTCAGTGCGACAAGCCAGCGGAGTGATTTTAACCATTAATGGTGAAAACTCTTTAATTCTTTAACTCTTAAAACTCTTTAACTCTTTAAAAAAAATTTGGGAATAGAATCATGTTTAGTTCTCCAATTCCATTCGCACTTTTTTGCTAATAGTTATTTTTGCTTCTAAAGGAGAGTAAGGCCTGAGTTTTGACGCTCGCGGTAATCATCCGAGCAATAAACATTCGCCTATTCTGCACCATATTAAAATATTAAGCGTATGCTTATGAAATACAAATAAATTTAAATTCCGATAAATTAGTTCTGTATTGAAAAGTATGCAAAGCGTCAACAAATTTTTATAGAAAGCAAATTTTGAGTTCAAAACATTATTCCAAATATCTGATTGATTTTAAATCGTAAAAATTTTAAAACTTCTTTTACGCTATAAAACTTTCTCCTAGCGATCACATAAGTTCATTTTTGCTAAAACCGGATTTGAAGTACTATTTAATTTTTCAAATTTTATTCTTATTCTGCTTATGCATCAATGTGCAAAAACTGTAATTTAAAGTTTCCTAATCAAATTTTAAGATTTTCAAGAGGTTCACACTGAAGTTGAACTCAATGAATTTCTTGATAGGTCTGACTTCGCTTAAAAGATAATGATTGTGGAATAAAAATAATTTAGTTCCCACCCATCGATTCTCTTAAAAATCTGTTAAAATTTTTGGAAAATATTTTCTTAAAAATGAAACAATTTTGTGATAAAGAAGCAAAGTAAGTAATTTGAAATAATATTTTAGGCAAACGTACAATACAAAAGAAGAGCAAAAGTCGAAGACTAAGAAATTTCTAATTAATGAATAATTATTTGAAAAAGAAATGCACTATTATAAGTAAATGTTAACTCTAATTTTTTACGGTAGTCGCATCTTTAAGGAAAACTGAAAAACGGAACTTTCCTATTCCTTAGAAATAAACATTCGGAAGTTCAGTTCCAAGAAATTTTAATGATAGCCTTATTCTGGCCGAAAACCGAGAATCGAGTTGAACCATGGGACTTGAAATGATAATGCCAGAAGCCATCTTTCTACTTCGCGATGTTTGCCAAATGTTTGCAGTCTACTGTACATATTGCAGAACACATATAAACCATTAAATTCTATAATATACGATTTTACCATTATTTTAAATGAATAATCGAATGAAAAAATTAAGAATATAATCGAAAATTATAAAATTAAATGAAGATTCTATAAAAAAACAAGACAGTTGCATTTGAAGGCCAATCAGTTATTTTCCAAATAGCATATTATCGCATAAAATAGCATAAATAAATCATATTTGGTGAGAAATTGTGTTTACGAAGAATAAGGCATACGAGTGGAAAAATATCTGAGGTGAAATGGCTGAACACTACTCCACCACAATCCAATCTCTTATGAGAATCTCTTATGAGAAATCGATGTTTCAAGAATTTAATGAATAAGCAAAATGGAAATAAAAAATTCATGAAAAACTCCAAATAAAAATCCCATGTCCAATATCCAGCAAATTATGCGATTACAGTAAGCGATGTCTGAACGAGCGTTATATTGCTTCGAATGATGCCAATCGCCATAGGTTCGACTCATGCCCCTCGGCAAAAGTAATTAGTGCCACTAAAAATCAAATCCAAATGGTATTGGAGGTGCATCTGTAGTTTTATCTCTGGATGACGAAGGAATCTCAAACTTATAACCAGTGCACCTAATCAAATCAGAAAATGGGTGCTAATAGAAAAAAAAGAAGATATATATACGAAGAGATCGGAAATCTTATCGGAAATCTCTTAATGGAATTGAATTTTTCATTGTGATTCGGTGCCCATTTGTATTTTCTATCTTCAAATGATTTTCTAGCAAAAATGTTCATCTTAATTAAGGTAATGTTTAATTAAGATTTAACAAGTCGAGTCAGCCAAACCAGAAATAATGACTTCAAAAAATGATTCACTGAAACGGCTAAATTTTTCGATTCTTTTCCAATCTGATTGGTAAATTTTAAAGAAAATTTTATATTCTTTATTACTTCTAAAGTGTTGTGATTGTAAAACAGTATTTCAAGATATATAATTTCAAAAACTTGAATTTTTCTTTTTTCTCATTATTTCTTATTTAATATTGTTATTTGGTTTTATTTTTCTACAATTTTTATT